TCCATGGCACCTGATAGCACCTCTGATGTTTTGGAGGTCTCTGTTTGGTGTTCTCCTATTTTGTATTGTTTAATGGACTATTGAGCTTGAATACTGTTCATTATCTCCATATATTTCATAATTAATATGATAGGTAGTTAAAGGCCTAAGTTACACTTAACACACTTTATCAGAATGACTTAAGTGTTTTAGAAACGTATTAAAAAAGTCTTTTAGAAAGTTAAAGGCAATAAGCGAACAGGCTATGGCACCGTTTTCTTTAACAGAAGATGATAACAGAATTTGAAAGACTTCTTTTGTACATAATACTAGTATGTTCGTGTTTCAGCTGACAAGGTTTGTAACAATTTTTTTTTTCTAATGCTTATTATTATAATTAATAAATTATAATTTGAAGAACTTTATATTGGGTCTGGATATACTTATAGAACTTATAGTCGCATTACACTGTCAAAGAATGAAGTTCTCAAAATCATCTTTCAGTATCTAATACTTTTAACATCCCAGTCAACCAAGGTGAATTCTAACTAACCTATCGGTACTGGATTCACAAACGTCCTAAAATCTTTACACACAAAGAGACTGTGTACGCACCTAGAAGAACGGGCTTCATTTTTAGCGGTTCTTGTGGGGACAATTATGAATTTATCATGAATACTCCATACCCAGTAATTTTGTTAAACTTCAAGTACGTTAGTTGTTACATACACTAACGGTTCAGCAAATGCTCTACCAAGCCCCTTTACTCCTTACAAATCTATCAAATACTGTAAAGGAGAAACACCAGACTTACTGTGCCCCAGGATATTCTAGAATCCGTTAGTGACTATTTAGTCAGCTGCAGATTCTTAAAATCTCCGGAAAAAAATAAAGTAAATTAAAAAAAAAATTTGGAAGCCAAAAACATTAAAATGTACAGCTTTTCTACACGTCTTACTATCTCTCCTAATAAAATTGCTTATCAGTAAAAATGGAACTCTGAAATTTTAGTCTCTTGACATCAAATACTTCGAAAGGAAATTTAATCTACATAACAATACACATGTACTCTGAAGCTGATATCAAAAGGATGTCGAAGACCCTTATTGACAATATTTATGTTGTATTTTCGGAGACCAAGTCTTCTAACAAACTGCTGGAATTACTGTTGACAAGTACTTTTACCGATTTTTTTTTATATTCCTATATATGAAGCAGAATTAAAAAAAAAAACTTACATGAGAAGAATTCAACATTTGCAGTGGACTTGTTTATCAATTAAAAATCGTTTTTTCCATTCATTTAACAACAAATGTGAGTAGGTGTAAGAAGAGAGATAACTTGGAAAGCTATTTATTTTTCCATATTAATAGTCTTACCAATTGTAGAAACATAGGTATATGTAATTTTTTTTTACAGATTAATACTCTTAAATCACATATTTGTGGGTTAGAAAAAAAAATTCCTGGATATTAAATGCCCTACTTAGTATTCACATGGAGGGTTTAATTTGAATTAAATGTAAGCTACTGTGAATGAAATTTGAACAGCATTCACACGGAGAATTTAATTCGAATTAGTTTAATGTGAACTAATTTACTGCGCATTAAATTACTTCGCATTAGCACCGTGTGAATTCGCATTATTTTAATTAGCATTATGCCCTTTCATACGGAGAATTAAACTCGAATTAAACGTAAGTTACTACGAATTAGTATACAGTTAAAGTATATCATTGAGGGAGTTAGCAAGATTTCAGTTCCCCAAGACCAGGACTATTTTCCAAAGCGCAGCGCGCCGAGATAAATAGCCGTGATCGAGAGGAACTGGAATCTTGCTAACTCCCTCAATGAAATACTTTTTAAAGGTTTTATTATAATGTAGTAGTGTGTATAATATGCATATATAATAAATAAGTGTTTTAAATTTAATGTAAATAAATTAAACTACCATAATAGATAAAAGTATAAAAAGCTTGATCCGCTCCTTTATATCCTTAGCCCTTTACCTGTACACCTGTATATAGATAATTAGTTACCTTAGGGCAGTTCAAAGGTTTTGGAGTGTTATTTTCGAATGGTAGTTTGGTTGTCAAGTTGATTTTCATTGGTTTTATTCTTATGGTCATGTTTTACCGCCAAAATATTCATTCTTTGTCTTGTTGATTAATGACCAAGACTGTATTTTATGGACTCCATGACTTTGACTTTTGGAGACTGACAAATTCCATTTTCTGGTAAGGGAACTTTCCTTATTACTAATTGTAGTAATATGTCACTGATTTGATTTTTAAAGATCTCAATTTCACTTCATATTTTATGTATGACCATGAGAGAAAGATGTTATTTTTATGATTGGAATTAAAAAATCAGTAATGTATTATATTATAAGTGTAAATTGTTATATTCAAGTTACACCTTATATTTTTAATGATCGAGATATTACTTTGTTCAAAGTAAATTTAAAGGAATATATATTTTAATGTATACTGTATTAAATTAAATATACATGTTGTGTAAAAAGCTGTAAACATCACACATTCATGTGGTAGCCTTTTCCCACAGAATGGTGAGGAATTATTTGTTTTAATTAGTACTATTTTTTATGCCTTTATATGGGAGAAAATATGTAATGATCCAGATATTGACTTTAAGAGTTATCTCCCTTAATTGAGAGTAAATGTACATATATGTATATCATCTATAATATATATCATTATGGATATGTTAACTATGAGAACTACGTGTATAGATGATTGATGATTGATTTGATGTGCTATATATTGTTGTTTTATTATATTTCAGGGCTATAAATTTGTATTGTAAAGTGCTCACTGTGTCAAATAAATAAGACCTGAACCCTGACAGAGGCGTGTTTGTTTTCTTCATCACCACCCCTGTTACGAATGGCGGGGGGTTAACTTCAAGATACAAATAGAGGATTACGAATGGCGGGGAATTAGTTTCAAGACTAATGCACGGGGAATTAGTCCATTAGCATATTATAATTAGACTGATTCAAAAGTAAAATCTAGAAGATTACGGATAACCTGGTAATTAGCTTCCAAAGAAGGATTAGCTCATTTAACTAACGCACGGGAAATTAGTCCATTCACTGAGATTTGTAGGGAATTATTCACATTTTACTGCCTTACTTTTATATAGGAAAAAATCAGTAGAGGAAAAAAAAGTTTCATACATGTACTTGATGCATCGGAGAATTTAATGCGAATTAGTTAAATTTGAATTAAATTACTTCACATTAAATTACTTTTCATTAACTCCGTGTGAACACTAAGCGAAGCTAAATCGAATTAAATTATTTTGACGCATGTGTAAGGCCAGAATTAAGTCACAGGACACATACTAGTGGTTAGATATAGGTATCTGTGCTATATTTGGTTCAAAAATCAAGGAAAAGTATGTTAATCACTAAATAAAACTATCAGAATGATCCAGTGTGTATATAATGGCCTAATAATTAGTATGAAAAAACGTCAATCATGATGTGACTTTATACGAAACTGCTGATATTCTTGTTTCATCAACTTCCTCGTCAATAACTAAAATACCCTATTTTTTAAAAGAAAATTTCAAACATAGAGCATGCTCTTGCGCATCGAATCAACTGAGAGATATTAATCCTGTATGCAGGTGATGAATGTTCATTGATGCATTAGTAAGGAAAAATGATGATTGAAAAATTCATGTCATCAAGTTTAATTATCAATATGTACAATAATTAATCTTTTTTTAGATGAAAAATTATTTATTTAAACAGATATATAAACATAAAATCTTTCATGTTATTACTGGAATGAACGGTCGCAGCTATTGCAGAAAAAATTTAAATAACCCGCTTACGCGGGTTATGTATTTTTTCTGCAACAGCTGCTTCCGTTCATTCCAGTAACAACAAACAAAGAAAGCATTTTATTGTTTAAGTTAGGCTTTTAGATTACCATTAACGTCTTTTTCTTGTTAAATATCAAATTAGTCCTTTTCGAGTAAAATATCAGAAAAAGAAACAGATGTGCCAGACACTGGTATCTTTTATTTCAAACTCACAGAGATACTTTACTATTGATTTGATTATCATATACGCACTGAATTGTCGAAGGGTTTCACAGATCATGACAAGGATCGAGCACACAGTGGGATGACCGATCGGCATGGGATGCTCTCTTCCATGGTACACGGTTTCACCTCTACTGTTTCAGAGGTCTTGTTTGCTCTGCTCCTGATTTGTATTTCTTGAATGGGATACCGTTTGCTATCTCCAGCTCCGCCGTGTTTTATAACGCCTTCACAGACTTGCATCATTTATAGATTTTTAGATATCGATCACTGTTCGTTATCTTAACATTTTCATCCTAGAATTATTTATAAATCTTAAATGTGTAGTAGTTAAATTACAAAGTTAATATTATTTGTTCAATTTTCTATCTCTTCCACAGCTTGAAATTCCAAAATCAAGGAGAACATGTTGAAGTTCTTGTGCTTAATATTGACACTGGTAGTACAGGCGATTGTTTATCAGGTATCATAGGATAACATTTGAACTGAATTACCTATTCTTGTTTCAAAATCGTAATAGTGGCATACGTTGCACATGATACTACAGAGATATTTCACTCATGCCATTTGCACTGCAGGCATAATACAATGAGTCAATCAACCTATCGAAACTTGGGAGATGTACGTGCGCTCTTGTGTTAAAATTCGGCACACTCAGCATATGACCCATTAAGAGATTGATAAGAAATGGGACATTTCTTGGTCGCTAAGTCTTCTACCCACACTGTTGACAGAATTCTTGGTTTCAAATTTATTTCCAAATAAAAATAAAACATTTCACTCGTTCAAATAAAAAGAAAACAATTAGAATAAAGAAAAGAAAGTTAAATCCTTATCGAAATTCAAATTGTTGTCTGTCAGTGCATATGTAGCATAAAAAACAAGATTATCAGTCATATGATGATTACACTACGGTATTTCTCAATAACCATTGTATATATAAGAGTTACAGAATAAGACACCCCACATAATAAGAATGGCCGAGAAAGCTTCCCTCCTTGTTGCATGCCTGTTAGCATTGAACACAATCTACTGTCTTCCGGCACACTCACCGGGGACAAAATTTTCTCCTACACCGACTGAAAAATTTTCAAAACATGCAGTGCTAGACCCAGATGGAAATTTTCATTTATTTTGGAATTTCAATTCCACTCATATAACGTTTGAAGCTCATGTAAAAACACACGGATATGTTGGCTTTGGACTCTCTCCAAATGGAAAGATGTACCCAGCAGACATCGTCGTTGGATGGGTAAAGCATGGACATGCATTCTTGAAGGTAAGACAAAAAATATTATGTTGCAATAGATATACTAGTATACGATTTAGAATTGTTCGTGTTTTCTTCCCAAACTGTTCATTACATGACAAAAACCATTAAAAAAACTGCAAATTCTGCTTATATAGTACAAAATTATGACAAAATAAAAAAAATTTAAAAAGAGACATATATTCAGAAGGAATGTAAAACATAAACAACACATAAGGAAATATTCTTTTTAATTAAAAATGTTCTATTTAAATTGTGATTAAATGCAATTTTATCGGTTCAGATGTGTTTTTAGATTTTCTTTGATTTTATTATGAATGTAAAAAAAAACACACTGAAAAATTTTCTACAAAATTTAAGTGAAACAATAGAACAAGTTCTGGTGTTACTTTGCTTCCATTTTTTTTTTTAAAATGCAACAAATTTATTTAAAATCTGTTGTGATCAATGGATGAAGAAACGCCATGGGAGCGCAATGATCGCAGTGACAACTCCGTGCTGTCCCGTGTAATCTCATCGAAAAAATAGCAGTAAAAACGCGATAGAAAATTACTATTTGTTATATATTCGTCTTCACGTTCGCACGGAGCTCCCAATATGTTGTTGGAGATCTCACTGCGCTGCTACGGTGATCATTAGCACGTTCTTATAATTAAAATTTGTTATGTATTCCGTTGTGCGCTGTAGGATAGATCACCTCGGCGTTTTGCATTTTTTAGCAGTAATTACTATTTGTTACATATTTGTCATTAGCAGTAATTACTATTTGTTATATATTCGTCTAGAATAGAGCGTCATTAGCAGTAATTACAATTTGTTATATAATTTATATGTTATGTATTTTGTCTAGGATTTAGAGTGTCATTAGGAATAATTTCTATTTGTTATGTATTTGTCTAGGATAGGCACTCCAGTGGCCATTTTGAACCAGTCATTGATGCTTCACAGGACTGGGTTCTTCTTCATGGAGCAGAAAACCACCATGGAACCGTGATCAAAACTGTCCGAAAACTGGACACGTGTGACGATGATGACGTCAAGATAACGGTAACCAGTATGTTTGGTCCATTAGCTTAAGATTTAAAGGTCTAAAAATTCTGTATACAATGATTAAAATGATCATAAACCAGTTTTACACATATACTTTTAACTTTGTGAAATTTCGTATAGATGTTTAATTTTAAATGTAATGAATAATTTTTTTTTATGCCCAATTTGATAATAGTTTTCTTTTATGTTTGGTGATTAATAAAGCATATACTACTCGCTTCTGTACACTTGTATGTCAATGAACTTAATCTCTAATGTTTTCGTTTTTGATATACCTTTTGAATATTAAGTTTGTAAAAGATCTTTATGGTTCGGGTGTGCAATGATACTAGTAGTTTACAGTACATCGTTAACATTTACTAAAATTATATCATCTGTTAGACATCAATTTCGTATAGATGTTTAATTTTAAATGTAATGAATAATTTTTTTTTAGCCCAATTTTTTTTTCTTTTATGTTTGGTGATTAATGCATATATACTCGCTTCTGTACCTTTTGAATATTAAGTTTGTAAAAGATCTTTATGGTTCGGGTGTGCAATGATACTAGTAGTTTACAGTACATCGTTAACATTTACTTAAATTATATCATCTGTTAGACAATTGTGTTATAGTTTATATATCTTCTGTTCAACAGGCCAACGGCTGTGCCAGTGTTTTTGTTTTGCATTGTTTTACTCATGTGTTACAGAACGACACCATTCGAGTAATCTACGCCTACAGTGAGCATGAACCACAGCACGAGGATGGAGGTCTTGTTTATCATGGAACCCACAGAGGAGCCAAAAGTCTCATGCTATTAACTGAGACCAAAAAAGCTACCATCCCAAGTGACGTCATAACGAGAGATCTGCTGAATAACAGGGTATCACTAACACTTAAAACAGACATTATCCCAATTTAAATTAAAGATATATTTTATCTTTTCCCAATGCAACATCAAGAAATATCATTTATCTTACGTCTTGCCTTTTTTTTTTAAAAAAGTCTCATCTTCATTTTTAAAACGTTTCAGTTTCTTATACCAGATGTTGACACCTTTTATATGTGTAGAGTATTTGACCTCTCTGACTTTGGAAAGAAACATCACCTGATCAAGGTAAACTAGTTTTATTTTTCTCTATTAGTCTGGATCTTCCAGAGACTTTTCATATGATATTAAATATCCAATCATCGATTTACAAAAAAATGGTGTTAATCAGATTTGGATGCTTAAAAATTCCTAGGAATTTTTCGTAAATTTAAAATAGCTTGATTTTTCCAAAATCAAAAATCCACAAAGTACGACTTTTTAACATTTTATATAATCATTTTCCATGATAGATAAATACTCCAAAGTTAATCAAATTCAAAAAAGTTCAACTATACACAAGCTACTATATGTCCAAGTTAACGTAAAGTTAAGTATTGTAAAATATGACATTTCTCACACCAGCTTGAGTCAATCAGGCTTATTGATTTATGCTATCTTAAATGCGAAAGTTTGTTGGTTTTTGATTGTCATGGATATAGCAATTCATATACCTTTTTTATCATTTGTGTGCAAAAAATATCAACTCTAACACTTTGCTATCCCTTACTCTAAGACTAACCCTAACCTTACCCTAACCCTAAGCTAATCCTAACCCGTACCTCTGAATCCAAATTTCGTTGCATTTCAGTACGAACCAATAGTACAAAAAGGCAATGAGGAAGTCGTTCACCATATTCTTCTACACAAATGTTCTGGGATAGACAGAAAATACATTGGCGTTAGGTTTGATTGTAACCACAGCCACAACCCACAGCTTAGGACCTGCAGCAACATCATTCTGGCTTGGGCAGTTGGAGGCGAGGTCTGTTTGTACGCGTCTTACAAAGAAAACACATTCCTATAAAACTGCATGAAAAACGTTTATGTTGATTAAGAGTCAGTAGTTCCAAGAGGGAAAATACAATGATATTGTGTACAAGTCTAATGTTTATTTAAGTGTATTGACCTGTGAATTACAGGCGTTTTATTACCCTGAGGAAGCTGGTCTACCACTCGGAGAACCAGGGGACAATGACCTTTTCATTATGGAGACTCATTATAACAACCCTAACAGGAGAAATGGTACGTCCATGTCTACACTTTTTATTTACCATTCTTTACCATTTTGTCAAGGTGTTTATAGTTGTGTGGTAATATTTAATGTAAAACAGCCTCTATGAAGGCAATTAGTGATCTTTCCTTGCTACTTTCTTTGGTCAAAACTTTATATCGTTATGTCAAACAAATAAAGAGTTTATTAACTTTAAAATCAACGGTGAAGAATTCCAAAGTCCTTTTGAATGTAAAATTTGATCACTTCTTTTTCACAGATTTTGTGGATAACTCTGGATTTCGTTTGACCTTGACCCCGACACTTAGAAGACATGATGCCGGTATTCTGATGGCAGGGATTGCAGTCAATGATTTGCAAATTGTTCCTCCATTTGAAAAAGAGTTCCTGTCGAGTGGATTTTGTACAAAAGAATGTTTGAAAAAGGTTATAAAGCTTCCAACAATCTATTGGAATTCACATGGGTACAAAGTGTGTCCCTCTATAAACATACCTATTTTTGTATTCATATGAAGCAGAACAAGTGCCAAATTTTATGCCTGAAAAGAATAAAACAATTGCTTTGGCCTTCACCTCGACATTTAAATATATCGACGACGTATTGTCAATCAACAGTGGCACCTTCCATTCTTATGGTGAGCTTGAGATAAAAGATACCGCAGTCTGACACATCTATTTCATATTTGGATATTTTACTTGAAAAAGACGTCAATGGTTATCTAAAAATCAAGCCCTTTGAGAAACGTGATGACTTTAACTTTACAATCGTCAACTTCCGGTATTTATGCAGCAATATACCTTCATCACCTGCATGGAGTTTATATATCTCAATTGATACGATACGCAAGAGCATTCTCTACGTATGAACAAATTCTAAAACGAGGTAAATTATTGACAAACAAGTTGATGAGACAAGAATATCAACAGTCTCGTTTAAAGTCATCATTTCGTTAGTTCTATGGTCGATACAATGACCTTGTCAGCAAGTACAATTTATGATTGAGTCAAATGCTGACCGACGTTATTAAAACTACTTGTTAGTCCATTATTTATACACTGAATTGACGACGACTTTTTTCGCTATTCCCCGATCATGACAAAGAACACACGACGGGTGTGACCGGTCAGCAGGGGATCCTCACTCCATAGTACCTGAACCCACCTCTGATGTCTGTGTTTGCTCTGCTTCTATTTTGAATTGTTTTATGGACTTTTGATTTTGAATACTGTTTGTTATTTCCATATTTTTCATTAATTCGATTACTTAAATCAATTGTAATTGAAAATTCACAAAAACATATTGCTTATTTTTTTCATATTTTATATGAAAATTTGTGTCAGGAAAAGGAATAAAAACACCTACTATAAAAATTCACACTTGATCAACAAGCAAGAGAGCAAAAACATCCCATATTTTTTAGATATATCTTGGTTGCTTCAATCATTTTACAATGTATAGCGTTTAAAGGCGTCAGTAAAAGTAAACTGTTAATAAAAGAGAGATTAAAAAAAATACTCAATTTTTTCAATATATAATTTTAAAACACTTTTATTGCATAACACTACAAATGTGGCACAATAAAGTGATATATAGTGTTTTCAATTTTTTTATATATAATGCAAATTAAGGAGTTGATCCTTGAAGCACATTGAGAGGGAAAATTGTTCGAATTTTACTACGGAATTTAACTAAATTTGGCATCAGTCCTTCGAATGAGACCTATAAGAAGGATATGGAGAAAACGAACAGTATTCAATCTCAAATTCCATAAAACAAAACAAAATAGGAGCAGAGCAAACACGGACCTTCCAAACATCCGAAGTGGGATCAGGTGCCATGTCACAGTAGATGCTAACAGTAAAAAGATCCATCACTACTCAAAAGCAGTGAGTGCCAAATAGGATGGATGTCCAAAACTTGCAGCCCTCCATGGGCAGATAGTGGCGTATCAATAAGAGTAAATATTATTAGAAGATTGTAAGGCAAATAAACAATTAAACAGTTAATAGAACATGCCAGTTGGTCAGGCAGAATGTATAATGTTATCTGTATTCGATTACTCTCCCTTGAATGTTTTAGGCATGTACTACATTCCAGTTAAAATATATAATTGTTTATATATTTTATGCTTTATCATATCAAAAGCACGTAGTGATTAGTATATCTTGTTATTTTACAGGGTCTTGATGCTTTCTCTGACGGAGTAAATGTATTTGCAATTTTGGAGCACGGTCATTTGCTGGCAAGAAAAATGAAGACCAGAATTTTCCGGAATGGGACAGAACTAGAACCGTTAGCCGTGGATAATAATTATGATTTCAATTACCAAGATTATCGATACTATCCCAAGCCAAGGAAACTAATATCGGTAAGTTCGTCACCGGAACTACACAATTTCAATTTCTTTTGCTATCACTGTCATCTGCTAAGAATATTTCAACACTCATAGCCCGTCCATCAAAACAATGAAAAAAATAACAAGGGACCGTCTGTGGACAAAGGACTAGAAAATATGTAAATTAATTATACAGCCTATGCGAATTAAAAATTAGTTACTTTGAAAACTGTTCTTCTTTTCTCTTTAGCATGTAGAAAATAAGTTATATTGAGTCTAACTGTCTCAACAAATTTCTTGAAGTTCTTAATCTCACCATAAAGGAGATATGCGAATTATAGAAGATTGGTATATTTGTATATTTACTTTGATGATTTCTGCCATAGTACTCAGGGTACTGCCTTAAAAATTAGCTGAATATTTGTTACATAACGATTGTCTCTAACATGAGGAACATACTAGTACTTATATCGTTTAATTGTTAGAATTAAGAAACTTCATCTTAAATCTTATATGTTTCATTTAAAATGTTAAACATTTTCAAAATTCCTTTTAGGGCGATGCATTGGTTGTGGAATGTACTTATGATTCTTCTCACAAGTCTGCTGTTACTTATGTAAGTTAAAAAATTCAATTTTTAAATCTCTCAGAGGCTTTTTAAATTTAGATATTGGGCATTTACAGGAAAACTCAATGTGACCTAATGTTAAAGGATAGCTTTTTTGACTGGAAATTTTTCTTGTGTATATTAAACTATTATAATACATTAATAATGCAAATATATATTAATAAACTTACGCAAATGCTTCAAGGTATTTGAGGGATATCCACCACTGATGAGATGTGTCTAATATTCCTGTATTTTGTAGGGAGATGTGTGGATTACCGACCACTCATGAGATGTGTCTATCTTTCCTATATTTTGTGTGAAGGATTAGCCACCACTGATGAGATGTGTCTATCTTTCCTATATTTTGTGTGAAGGATTAGCCACCACTGATGAGATGTGTCTATCTTTCCTATATTTTGTATGAAGGATTAGCCACCACTGATGAGATGTGTCTATCTTTCCTATATTTTGTGTGAAGGATTAGCCACCACTGATGAGATGTGTCTATCTTTCCTGTATTTTGTAGGGAGGATTAGCCACCACTGATGAGATGTGTCTATCTTTCCTGTATTTTGTAGGGAGGATTAGCCACCTCTGATGAGATATGTCTATCTTTCCTGTATTTTGTAGGGAGGATTAGCCACCACTGATGAGATATGTCTCTCTTTCCTGTATTTTGTAGGGAGGATTAGCCACCACTGATGAGATGTGTCTATCTTTCCTGTATTTTGTAGGGAGGATTAGCTACAACTGATGAGATGTGTCTATCTTTCCTGTATTTTGTAGGGAGGGTTAGCTACCACTGATGAGATGTGTCTATCTTTTCTGGTTTATTACCCACGGATGGCTGTAGAAAGCTGTCAAAGTACCCCGATGTATAACAATGTCCCAAGGAAAGACTACTCTAGTGGACGTGCAGTGACATCTTTGTATGACTTAACTTCGGCAACCTCCAGAACGTATTTCAAAATTGCACTCCACACAACAAATCACTGGGCAGCCTGTCTCGGCGCCTCACTGACTCCTCAGGTGATACTCTGTTGCTTTATGCAGACATAACATAAAGACTATCCTCAAAATCGTAATTAATTAAGTAAATTTTCCTTCGATCTGCGTAAATGCTACTTTAGTTTTTCTTTACAGCCATTATGTGAAAAAAATCCTGATTTTCTGCCCGTCTCTCCTATTGTTCTCTCAATAAATATGACATTTTTGATTGAATACAAATACGTTCAACTATCCTTAGATCGGATGATCAATTCCAAGCAAGAAGCCTTTAGAAGTGTCAAAAGTCTTGTAAACATATCAGTTTACAGCAGATTGGTTTTTGACAGATTACCATGAGTTGATCCGAACTAAATGTAACTAAATACAATTGTATTTATGCATGAAATCTTATTAAATTGTAAGACAAACACGCTGAATTGAATTTTAGTACAGTCATCAAGAACTTCAGATGCTCACCCCAGATTCTCCGTACTATGAACCCCCATCTACATGTCCTTCGTCGATGAACCAAAAGATGACGACACTGCCCACAACACACAATCCATGTGGATCTCCTACACCAACGGAACAATATGACTTTCAGGAAAACCTCGATCCTGACGGAAAGTACGTGCTGTTCTGGAATGTAAACAAAACTCGCATAGTATTTGAGGCACACGTAGAAACAAAAGGGTACATCGGATTTGGTTTATCACCAAACGGGAACATGTATCCTGCTGACATCATTGTTGGATGGGTGAAAGATGGCGTTCCTCATTTCAAGGTACATCTCTTATTCTCTATTTTTAGCAGAAAAGAGGTAACGGATGAATCATTATTTACAAATATTTGAACGAAGATGTCTCTTTCTGTAGGACATGCACAGTGTTGGTCACTCTAGACCTATCGTGGATTCGTCTCAAGATTGGCATCTACTTTATGCAAATGAGGATAGTTGTCGGACTTCTTTGAAAATGGTCAGGAAACTAGACACCTGTGATGATAAAGACTTCAAAATCACGGTATGTTCATCTTCATACATAATTAACACTAATTCAGTAAATAATGGACATTTATTTTCTTTATTTCTTGTATAAGAATTTGTTTTGATTTAAAGAAACTTTCAATGTTCTGTATTGTCATATTGTCTGAATTCAGTAAAGACTCGTATAGGTTTTTTTTTTACGTTTTGCTGTCATTAGGAAAAATCTTAAATGTAGCATGAACTCAGATATAAAGTCAATATTTTTGTCTAAAAATATCTTGTATAATATCATGAATAATACGGATTTCTTACTGGTTGTTGGGTTGTTATTTAGACGCCAAAATTTCTAGAGTTTTAGAACAATAATTATAAAAACTCGTCAAAGGAAATTCTTTTGTGTCATGTTATCAAAAATTATGATATATTTTGGGTTTTTTGGTCGTTTTTTGAACCCTCAATATTTTCGAACAAAAAAGACCATACTTAGAACTTATGAAAAGTGGAAAATATGAAGTTAATTCATGTAAGAAAGCAAAGCACACCAGTGTTTTTTAGTTCGTGCTCTATCTGACCAGTGCAGAGTTAGCAAATTGAACACATCCCATAAAACGAAATCATTAACTTACAATTACATAGCTATTGCCTCGTTAACAAACATAGGTTGTTTATTAAAATTAATGGTAATACTTTTATCATTTGATTGAAAGAATCTTGATGTATATTCAGTTCAATAAATTGCACATAAAACGTCAATGCAGATGCGCCCATGCAATTTAATGTAAGCCAAAGACTTTTAAAAAGAAAGAACATCTTTTAAAATTACTCCCAATGTTTTGTCCACTTACCACAGGATAACACAGTGAAGGTTATTTATTCGTACCACCATAGTGATCCAACCAGCCATAGCACCATTATGTATCATGGTATGAACCGCGGGGTCAAAAGTCTCTTGCTTCTGTCCAAAATATCGCCTCCAGTGCTAGAGAGCGACTCTAAAGTCATTGATATTTTCAACAATAACGTAAGTGTTTATTATTTTTGAACTAAATTCAAAATATTGTAAGAGTGGTAAAAATCAATTCATTACTTTAAAGCGGTTTCTAAATTTTGAAAAAAAAATTGTCGAAATTTAAATGGAACATGACGATGATATAAAAAGTACGATAAAATACGGGAAAAGCTAACATGTTTACAAGAAAGACTTTCTTTCAATATCATCTGTCCTTCCAGTACCATGTACCTGCTGTCGATACAACGTACAGCTGCCGAATCTTTGACTTGTCTACACTACACAAAAAGCACCATCTAACCAAGGTATTGATAAATTTATTACTATACCGATATTTCGTATTTATTTAAAAATATTCTACGGTTCGATCTGAATCAAAGTTATAACTAAAGAGGCTTGGGAGTCAACAAGTTAACTGTCAGATATATGTTATCTATTTTTTAGATATATCTTAAGCTGTCAACTGTCATTTGGCAAAGAAAAATTTCATACATTTTTGTTTTAAAATTTGATCAGTGTGTATATCTTATATTGAATTCTTCTAAAGGAGATCAATATAATCTAAAAATGGCCACAACCACTAGTACTCAGCCCTCTTAAAAAGCATTGCAGCTCAAGTCAGATTTGATATATATAAACACAACATAACAACAAAATGTTCTTTTTTTTAAATTATGTTTGATATCGGTTTCAATTTTTTCCAATTTCTAACTCAGTTCGAGGTTATTGTGCAAAAAGGCCATGAAGTGTTGGTCCATCATATGGTTCTTTACAAGTGTCCAGGAATCAACAGAAATCTAATAAACTCCCCTAATTACGTGTGTCACGATGACCCCGACAAATCCAAACAACCGTGTGGTAAAATCATTGCCATCTGGGCCGTGGGTGGAGAGGTAATTATTAAAAAAGATCACGGTGTAAAACTAGCATAAAATTATGTCAGAAAGATTATTTAACTATAATAAATGTTTACAAGCTTATCCAAAATAGTATTTAAAAGTTTTTTATTGCTTTATTTATATATTTTTTATCTATATTTACATCCTGGAAAAAAATTCAATTTAAATCACATTGATTTACATAATTATACTTTGCATAATTGTAAATATTAATTATTTTAAAGGCGTTCTACTTCCCTGACGAGGCTGGACTTCCGGTGGCTGAACCTGGAGACACAGATCTGTACATCATGGAAACCCATTACAACAACCCAGGATTGAGAAACGGTCAATATTGCAAATCAAGCATTAAGAGGGCTTGGTGCTTGTGACCATTTTTAGACTATATTGATCTCCTTTAGAGGGAGAGCTCCAAATAAAGATATACAAAATGATCAATTTTAAAACAAAATTTTCCTTTGAAAAATGATAGTTGACAATTGAAAATATCATATCTAAAAATTTAAGTTATATCGGTAATATTAAAAATTTAAGTTATATCGTCACGTTTTATTTACACCCGGCGGTTAATTTGGTTATCCAAAGGAAATAAATTTGTTTATCCTTTGCCTCCTTAAAGACTTTCATAACATAAACTCTACGGATTGTCCTAAAAAGAAAAATCTAAATTCAAATTATTCTATTCATATTTTAGGTTAGGAACGAATCTGAATTTTTCTCTGCATAAAGTGATTATGAAAGGAATAAGTTAATGTTTTTGTTGCATTAAGTTAGGGGAAAAAAACAAACACAATGTTTTAAAGAAGAAACAAGGGTAAATTTTAACGGGAAATAATCGATAAGAAAACAATTTCAGCAAAAGTGTTAGGTATTTGTAATGTTAACTCGGAATTGTAAAAACTCTTAAAGTGATGTTTATCTATTTGCAGACTTTGTTGATAGTTCTGGTTACCGTTTGACCGTGACCCCCACCCTGAGGCTTCAAGATGCCGGTATTCTTGAGGTGTCAGCAATGGTTGACCAGAGTATGGTTATTCCTCCGCATCAGCCCAACTTTATCTCAACCGTCTTCTGCAACGAATCTATTTTACATCAGGTATTCAGTTATTTAAATGCAGATAAATTTTGACGTAGACATGTAATATGACGATGACCAACGCTTATTTTATTATTATTATCCTATTGTAATTATCCTATATATTAGCAATTATCCTACCTGTATTAAAAATCTTTTTGGAACAAACCCTATTGTGATCAGAGCAAGTTTGCTCTGCTCTTATTTTGTATTGTTTTATGGACTTTGAGATTGTATACTGTTCGTTATCTCCATATGATATCCTTCCCACATATTAACAATTATCCTACAGGTTTTAAAAATCTTAAAAATGTATTAAAATTTGGAACAAACCCTATTGTGATCAGAGCAAATAAAACAAACGGAGATAATGACCAGTATTCGAACTCAAAAGTCCTTTAAACATTACAAAATACAGCAAAGCAAACACGGCCTCCGAAACATCAGAAGTGGGATTAGGTGCCATAGAGGAGTGAGCATCCCCTGCCGACCGGTCACACCCGCAAACAAAGACTTCTGAAACATCAGAGGTGATATCAGTTCTCTTTCCCTATCGTCTGGTCACAATCCACGCTTATGCTCTCCGTCATGATCAGGTTATAGAATTCCTTATCCCCGTTTTCTTTTTTTGTATTAACCAAAGTGTTTGCGAAATATTGACTTCAAATTTGTTGATATATTTGTAAACCCATTTATCATTAACTTGTTTAGAAGTAACCCATTTTATGCATTCTTCAAACAAAAACATGCTCATGCATTTGAATACATGGGAAATATAAACTATTGCAGATGATAAAGGTAAATTGCTATATAGATAAGACATAAAGAACAAGGTATGGTTTCAATACAAATTTTGCCCTGTGATTTTCTTAAAAATGAAACTGAGTAAAAAATGAAAATTCATGCTTTCTGAATCATTGAAATTTCATGCAGAAAAATCATACAAATGATTTTTCTACATGCATTCTTAAAAGCTAATTGTGACCTCATAAACGTATGCATTTTCCCGTATTTTCTTAAAAAGTTGCAGAAGACACCAATTTTTATTTTGAGGCTTTTTCTGTTAAAAATTGAGAAATACATTAAGTTAATGACGTAATAATTCCAGAATTGTACTCCTCCATGCCATATTCTTTTCTGATCTATCACAGCCATAAACTCAACAAATATTTAATCCAGTTTCAAACCTTTTTGAAAACATTAAATTTTTAGGGCACAATAAAGCTAAAACCATACCTTCTTCTTATAACATTTGAACATAATTCACTACCTTTTCTTTGCGTTTGATTCTATATTTTCATATACCAAATGATCTATTGCTTCCGCTTTTTTCCGTCCTTAAGAAGTCTTTTTTGAAATCTTCCACACTTTTTCTAATTTGTTGAACAATAAGATTGGAATGAATCATTTCTTCGAAGACCAGAAATAAATATCCCTTGGTTCTGTTGAATAAAATGTTTATTAGGTTTATACTGTTGAATGGTTACAGTAAGGCTTCTATCTGAGCACAACTGATGTTTTCTACAATTCAGGGTCTTAAAGACTTTCCAGGCGGCGTCCACGTCTTTGGGGTCCAGCATCACGCCCATCTTCTCGGCAAGGCGATAAAAACAAGACTCATCCGAGGTGGGGTGGAGCAGAAACCATTAGCAGACGACAGACATTACGACTTTAATTATCAGGACTTCCGTCGAACAAACAGAACCCTAAGAGACGTATGTATGATGATGCTCTGAAAAGATTGAATAAATTACAGAGAGTTTAACAGACATCATATATTTGAATCACAGACAAAATTTTCAAATGATGAAAACTATTGCAATATTTTACAATGTTTATGGAAATATTTAACTTTCATGGTCTTCATGATATATACATAAACACAGGATGCAAGTTCACAAAAATTCTATGACAATTATATGATAGTAATTTGTCAATCAATTTTTTTTTATCTAATTACATCCCAGTAAATGCGTCTTTTAACGTTTTTGAATGACCTTATGCCAAAAAATGAAGTTAACAAGCAAATCAGAATCAGGAATTCTATAAAACTTATAAATTGTGCGATCATTATATAGATTGATCATAGAATTCGCGAAATGATATTTTTTAACAAAATTTTAGTTTTTCTTGGATTATACACTGAGAAATTGATTATACATATATAGAACAGAGCCTTGCAATCAATTGAAAGAACTATGAGACATACTTAATTATGCAAGAAATAATGGTACATGGTTGGATAATGAAAATGATGAAACGGCTAAAATAGGAAAGTTAATGTTAGAAAAGCTGAAGTTATCAATTTTATCATTATGTTCAGCTGAAGGATTTGCTATCAATGTTTTTATCTTGTAAAACAGGTAAAAAAAAATACTTTCAATTTTTAGGTCACCTGAGTAACTCAGGTGACCTATTGCTATCCGTTTTCGTCCGTCGTCGTGCGTCGTGTGTCGTGTGTCGTGGGTCGTGTGTTAACATTTCAAAATTTTCAGCTTCTTCTCTGAAACCACTGAACCAATTTCAACCAAATTTGGTATACAGCATCTATGGGTGAAGGGGAACAAAATTTGTGAATTTTATGGTCCCCGCCTCCCTGGGGCTTGAGGGGTTGAGCCAAAACCACTAAAATTATTGCAATCTTTAAAAATCTTCTTCTTTACTCCTGGACATCAAGCAGGCAAACTGTTGGCATGAATGTAATGAGCATTGAGTCCTCTATCAAAATTGTGAATTTTATGGCCCCAGGGTTAGGGGTTCTAGTGTTACGGCGGGGCTCTATTGATTATTAAGTTAAAATGCATTAATTCTTTGAAAATCTTCTTCTCTGCTTCTGGGTATTAAATGAACTAACTAAGTAAATAGTTATGTTGAGCAAGAGTGTCTCTTCCAAAATTGTGAATTTTATGGCCCCAGGGTCAGGGGTTCTGGTGTTCAGGCAGGGCTCTTAATTTGATTATATAGTGAAAATGCATTAATTCTTTGAAAATGTTCTTATCTGCTCCTGGGTATTAAATAAACTAACTAAGTACATAGTTATGTTGAGCAAGAGTGTCTCTTCCAAAATTGTGAATTTTATGGCCCCAGGGTTAGGGGCTCTGGTGGTAGGGCGGGGCTCTGTTGATCATATAGTGAATATGCATTAATTCTTTGAAAATCTTATTCTCTGCTTCTGAATATTAAATAAACTAACTAAGCACATAGTTATGAAAAGAGAGAATGCCTCTCCCAAAATTGTGAATTTTATAATATAATAATTATAATATATGAATTTATAAAGCGCTAAATATTAATAATTTAACTCTAAAGCGCTGTACAATAAAACGCAAGTAAACATAATTTAAAAGCTATGAAAACTTATATAAAATATTTTATAACCCATACTCATATATGTGTTCGAAATTATAACATTAAAATACTAAAAATTACACACAAAATACAATTACGCCATCAATAAAACTCAATAAAAGAACATCATTTGTGATTTATGATTTGCTGCTAAAAATTGAGCACCTGAAATTTAAAAAGCTATTCTATAAAAATGCGTCTTTAATTGTCTTTTGAAAATATCCAGGGACTGGGCCTGCTTTATGTCATTAGGAAGGTCGTTCCACAAAAATGCTGCTGCCCAACCAAGTCGACGTTCGCCATATGTCTTCGTCCTGATCTTAGGAACAACTAACCGTGATGTTGACTCAGATCGCAGTGACCTGGTAGGCTTGTATTCCATTATAAGATCTTTGATATAAGATGGAGCTAACCCGTGTAAAGATTGGTAGACATATGTCAAGATTTTATATTGTGGACGAAAAGAAACAGGTAGCCAATGAAGATCAGCTAGGATAGGTGTAATATGCTCCCGTTTCGATGATCTTGTAACTAAACGAGCTGCCGTGTTCTGGACTTTTTGAATCCGGTCTAGTAAGGCCTTTGACACTCCATATAGAAGGCAGTTCCCATAGTCCAGCCTGGCAGTGATAACGGCATTCACCATGGTCTTGCAGGCCTCTTTTGTAAGAAAGCGCCGTATTCGTCCAATATTGCTTATTTGAAAATAGCATGACTTGACGACCGAGGATACCTGTTTTTCCATAGTTAGGTGTTGATCGAAAAATGCACCTAGATTTTTTACACATGGCACGCTTTCAATGATATTATCACCAACTTTTAGTTGTAATGTTGGCAGATACTTCTGGTGTTGCTTTGTGGTGAAGATTATTAGCTTGGTCTTTTCTTGGTTTAGTTTGACTAGGTTTGATGTCATCCATGAACCAATTTCACTAAGACACGCTTCAAGTCGAGAGAAATATTTGTTCCAATTTTCCAGTGGTCTTATGATCATGTAGATTTGTGTATCATCTGCATAGCAGTGATATATCATTCCATGTCGGTGGCATATGATTCCAATGGGTTTGGAGAAGAGGCAATACAATTTCGGTCCGAGTACAGATCCTTGGGGGACACCAAAAGGCAGCTGTCTAGACTCTGATCGGACGGATCCAATTGTGACACATTGTTTTCTGTTCTTGAGGTAAGACTCGATCCACTCAAGAGCTCCATCACGGAAACCATAAGACACAGTTAGGCGTTGGAACAATATATTATGGTCAATAACATCAAAAGCAGCGGATAAATCCGGAAGGACAAGGATTGCTGAAGATTGTTGGTCTAGGGCTGTCACAATATCGTTGTGGACCTTGATGAGGGCCGTTTTGGAGTGCCTCGGACGATATGCCGACTGAAGTGGATCGCGAAGAGAATTCGCATCCAAATGGGCATCAATCCTACGAGCCACAACTTTCTCCAATATTTTTGAGATAAAACTCAAGTTTGATACGGGCCGATAGTTTTTCAACACTTCCTTATCTAGTCCAGGTTTCTTAAGAAGTGGACGAACTATGGCCTCCTTCCATGCAGACGGAAAAATTCACTGATCGAGAGATGCATTAACCATTTTTGTGGCAAGCGGTATTACCGGATCCAGGCACTTTTTCAGTAGTTTTGTTGGAATTGGATCCAGTTCGCATGATTTACTGGGTGCCTTCATTAGAGTGATCGTACTTCATCTTCAGTGGTACGTTCAAAAGCAGCTAATAGAGGCCCATGATAGTATACGTCTGTGCCTAAATAGCTGTCTTCTTTTTCTGTTTTTTGTTTCAGTGTCTCTCTGATGGATGTTACTTTGTCTATAAAAAACGTTGAAAATTTATTTGCAAGATCTTCATCCGATAATGATGTTGGTAGGGGATTCTCCTGATTCTTACCCATCAATAAATTCGTCACCCTAAAGAAGTTTTTCAGATCATATCTGCATTCCTGAATTTTAGCAGAATAGAATTCTTTTTTGCCTTGTGTAGTAATTGCCTGTTTGCTTACATTCCGTTTTAAAAAGCTGGTGATGTATTTCCAGTTTAGTTCTACGCCAAAGTCTCTCCGTTCTCCGCTTCTGTTGTTTCGCTGTCCTGAGCTCGTCTGTGTACCACTCTGTGTTAGCTCTTATAAGAATTCACTTGCTAACAAGAGGCGCATGAGTGTTTAGAATATGCGAGAGGCATTTGTTGTACCCTTGTACTAAATGGTCAACAGACGTGTTCTCATTTCGTGCGGATTCATCTTGTAGTTGATTTTTTGATATCTCTACTCATATCATGTATGTCGATATTCTTGAGCCTTCTAAATGTAATCTCTTTACGTTGATGTTGTGGCTTTCTGCAGTTGAACGTTGCATGTATAGCATAGTGGTCACAGCACAAGTTTCCTTTCACATCACTCAATGAAGGATTTTTGACTTGAGGACGTGAATGTAGTATTTCACTAGATGATCGTGTGATAAGCAAGTCTAGGATATGTCCGTGAACATGGATCGGCTCGTCCACGTGTTGTATAAGGTTGCGATCATCAAGGGATTGTAACAACCTGCTTGCCTCAGGATCACTACGATTGTCGACGTGAAAATTGAAATCACCTGTGATTACTAGGTCTTGGGGAAATATGGTATTCTGATCAAGATAGGTGTCCCATTCTGAGAAGAACTGAATGGTAGTTAAACCATTCACAGTAGAAGGTGGCGGTCTGTAAATGATGCATAGATTCATTCTCATGTCTTCTATTCGGACTGTAACTTCTAGATGTTCGAATTGAGTGAAAATATCCGAGCTTGTGTTCAGAACGGTCACATCAATCCCCTTCTTAAAGACAAGAGCTATTCCACCACCACGGCGTCCACTGTTGCGATCTTGACGAATGATTTCGTAGCATGATGGTTTCAGTTCATTCACAAAAGCTTTATCAACAGAGGAATCTAACCAAGTTTCAGTCAATGCGACTAAGTCAAGGTCCTCTGTAAGTATATAGTCACATATTGATAGTGATTTGTTTTAACTGATCTGCAGTTAAGAGAAGACAATGAAAACAGCTTTGAACTTGGTCTTATGTTTTTCAATTTTACTTTCGTGAGTGTTTGAATTCTGTTTTCCATACCAACTTTTCTTGGTTTTTTAAATTGTGTTTATCTTACACACCGCATCCGTACCGTAGGAAGTGTTTAGGTCAATGAGCATTGAGTCCTCTACCAATGGGTAAAGGGGAACAAAATTTGTGAATTTTATGGTCCCCGCCTCCCTGGGGCCTGAGGGGTGGGGCCAAAACCACTAAAATTATTGCAATCTTTAAAAATCTTCTTCTTTATGGCCCCAGGGTCAGGGGTTCTGGTGTTACGACTCTATTGATTATATAGTTAAAATGCATTAATTCTTTGAAAATCTTTTTCTTTGCTCCTGAGTTTTATGCCAATGATCCAAGTATATATATTTATGATGAAGAAAGGTGCATCTAGCAAAATGGTTATTTTTTATGCCCGGGGGGGGGGTACATAGTCTGAAAATAAATTAATGCTTTGAAATCTGCTCTTTGGTATTAAACAACCATTTTATGATAAAATTTGCAAAATTTTGAAATATGTGGCACCAGGGTCAGCGGTTCCTTTGGGGTGAGGTGCACAACTTGTTATAAAGTTGAAGTGCATTTTCTCTTTGTTACTCTGATCTGCCTCTGGGTATTAACTAGAGTAAGCATGCTAAGTCTATAATTATGATAAGAAATTGTGCCTCTTTCAAAATTGTGAATTGCGAATTCCATGGCCTCTGGTTTAAAACATGAACCAAATTTAATTGTTTGAAAGTTGTTACACAATACTCAGGTGACCTATAAGGCCCATTGGCCTCTTCTTAAAATTTTTCTTCTTAAGTTTTGTCGTTTATTCTCAATGCATATTTCCACTGAAACTTGAGTGAAATTAGCTTGGTGATTCATTTGTTTTTGATATTATATGACTGAGGGAATATGATAAATATTATAATAATATATAATATAAAATAAATATATTAAATAATTTCAGGGTGATAGTATTATTTTAGAATGTACATATGACTCAACAGGAAGGACCAATGTAACATACGTAAGTATTAAACTGTAATTTAAAAATGTAACATACGAATGTATTTTTTAAAACCAAATAATACTACTTAGAAGAATAGTAACTGCAGTTAGTGTTGGATGCAACTGTAAGTTGTAATTATAGGGAATTGAACACAACAAATTAAAACACTTTTATATTGAAAGAACATTAACATATGTAAGTGTCAATCAAAATTACTGTTTTAAGTTATAAGCAAAAGTAATACAGATGAAAATTAAACACAAAAGCTGAATAGCATTTCTCAAAACATAGGTATTAATAATTGTAAATATACTTACATAACAAAAGGAATATATTTATTAAGCCTTATACACTTTAAGGTCTCGTAGAAGTTTGTATCACATGTACTCAAGTGACGCTGGCCATCATTTTTTAATGAAAATGAATCATATTTTTCAATTACATGTACCGATTTATACATTTTAGGGTGGCTTTTCTACAAGTGAAGAAATGTGTGTGTCCTCCTTATTCTATTATCCACGTACACGACTGTTCACGTGCCTCAGTAAGCCACTGTATGATCGACTTCACGACAACGTTAACGCCCAGTGGGGTTACCTTGGGCCACTGACATCCAAGATCAATACCTTTGACTGGAAAAACTCCACTGTTTTCCAAACGTTTAAGGAAAGTCTGTACAAAGATTCTTACTTCTACATATACGGACACGACAGAAACGTGGTAATTAATTTTAGTTTGTGTTAATTTGTTACATTTTTTATTATTTTATGGTAAAATATCAGAAAAAAGGATATCATTTTAATCATTTTACTTTGAAATTAAATTAACAAATCCGAGGAGATTATTTAACACTCCATGAGACGTGTATACATTTGTCATGTTTGAATTATCCCCTGCGGTGAATAAAACTCAAAGCCATTAAAGCCTTTTAGTAACTTTAAAGTATGAATACCAATGTAAAATTTTAATTTAAACATAACTTTAAGCATTATATACTCGTAATTTTGAAGTGAACAAAATCAAGCATTGTGATTTATTGTAATCTTTTTTATAATATTTTGTCGACCAAAATTATAAAAAAAAAAATATTAAATTTCCTGAAAATATAACTTTAAAAAAATATGTAAAGTTTAACTAACGTCAAGATATTATAAGTGTAGGTTAATTTATAAAATGCTAATGAACCATTACATTGTATTTGTGCATAATCGTAAAATAATTCAGATATGGTATAATCCACCCTTTTGTTATTTTGTCTTTCTTTGCAGTATAACTACAGTGTTTTCCATCCCCAATCCATGTATCCAACAACGCCTTACACAGAACCAATAGACACAGCATGTTCTGTTTAAACCACTGACTCCCTTATTTTAAATTTCAATATGAAATAGTGATGATCAAATGTTGTTTATTTTTGATATAATGTTTAAAATATTTACCTGAATAAATTATGTAAAATGTTTTATTAATTTAGCTTATGCATGTAATGTATGGATATAACAATCAGTATTCGAGCTCAAAAGCCCATTAAACAATACAAAATAGGAGCGGAGCAAACACGACCTCCAAAACATCAGAGGTGGGATCCGGTGCCATGGAGGAGTGAGCATCCCCTGCCGGCCGTGTGCACCTGTCATGTTCGGGGGGAAAACGGGAAAACTCAGTGTGTAAAGGACGGCCTAAAAATTAGTATCAAATCAATCGGGAGAAAAAATCCATATGCAGGTGATAAGGGTATATTGCTTAATTAGGGTATGGTTGTATAGTTGAGATATTAGAAGTTAAAGTCATTACGACTATCATAGAGTTATGTGTTAGGTTACCATTAACGTCATTTTCTGGTAAAATAACCGAATATGGAACAGATTGGTCAGACTCTATCATTTCAAATTCACTGGGATATATTGAATCCACATTATGTACTTTATCTCATGTGTAAGTTTTCAAAAAAATTATGTATCATATTAGTCAGAATTATCTGACGTTTTCCTGGCTTTTTCGCGATTTTGATATTTTATGTGCCAGGAAAACGTCCGACCGGCGCCATTACGAAAGCTGGGAATTCGCCGCCTCCAACCGGAGGCGGCATTCTCAGGTTGATTTTCGATACTTGCGAACGGAATTAAATGACAAACTCACTTTTTATCAATAGCACAATACTTTTGGTACTCGTCAACATCGTTTTATATAGTTCGTTTAAAAAATATACAATCCGATGAAAATATTTCTTCTGATTGTCGAGAATTGTTTTCATTTCGTGCATTTTGAAATCCTGTAAGTCCTGTATCGAAATGTGGAGTGATGTTTTCTTTTCATCAATATTGGTGACTACTAGATGCATTATGCTATTGATAAATTGTAAGTTCAACATTTATTTCGAAAATCAACTCAAATTGAAAAGGACGACGTTTCCAATTTTCGTGATGGCCCGGGTGCTGACGTTTTCCTGGCACGTAAAAATATCAAAATCGTTAAAAAAAAGGCAGGAAAACGTCAGATATTTCGGACTAGTTTCATATATCAAAAATAGGTCTGCTAATAAAGAGGCGGGAGGAAAATTCCGACAGATTGTTGGAAGACATGATATCCAAAAACTACGTGGTTATTGTCATTAGGCTTTAAGGCCAACAACGTAGACTTCTCACTGAAGTGAGTACTAGTAATCACATTAAAAGCATCAAAAGACATTTTTAACAATTATAAAATTGGTGGGTAATTTTGTGCTTTGCATTTAGAAATATAATAATACTAGAGCCAAGCGCGTTGCAAAGCAACGGATAGGTCTTCCGTTGTAGCTGCGAAAAGGAAGTAGTGACCTTGAGTCAAGGTCATGCCACATTCAAAAGTTTTACATGTGAGCAATATTGTAAGAGTAACAACTTACAGTGTTTTGCTAAGAAGAAGACTGTTAAGGAACGTACGTGACCTTGAACGTTCCAAATGACGTTGCATTAAGTCATGACACACTCGGGTTATGAAACCCAATCTGTGTGATACCGACTTGAAAAATTCACACACATTCTTTAAGTCCATACATACAGTCAAAAACATCTTATCCTTAGTGGCACTGAACTTGAGTCAATGCCGTATTACTCTTTGCATGATACCAGCAATGTGACACTAGTAAAAATACAAACAGCAAATAGCGAACTTACAGTTTCTCTGTCAGAGACCTTGTCTCTTCCAAAATGATCTTTCATCAAGGTCATAACACACACTGGTTAAGAGCAATTCCATTCTGTGAGTGTCTGACTGGATAAGTTCAGCCATGTTCTTTTAGACCATACATCGAGTCGAAATAATGTTTTATGTCCAGTATGGATAACTATTAAAGCGAGACGTGGAGACTGGTCTTTTAGATGAGGCTTGTAAACTAAAGTCTCGTGGCGGGGTAGGTGTTGGCATGAAAAGGATCCTTGGCACCGTATTCCACTCATTAATAAAGATCCGTTTTTGCACTGCCCCTGATTTGTTTTGTTGGATGGTCTTTTGAGCTTGAATACTGTTCATTTTCTCCGTATTTACTATTTCATCCCTTACTGCTCAAAGTCCTTAAGTGCCTTGTGTACAGTACATGTATAAACTTTTCATCCATTCCTAATTTCAGTGAAATGAAATAATATAAAATATTCGAAATAAACGAATATCAAACTCAATTTTCCATAAATCGCTATTAGTACACTGTGGATGACGGACCGCGGTTCGCTGATCTTCGCAGCCACATGTGGACAAGGACTGGGTTACAAAATTTTTAACACATGAATGTAAACTGTGTACTGTAAGAATGCGTGAATTGTTTGTTTAAAAGTATTGTTTTATGTTGTTGTTTTTTTTTCAAATATTAAATGTAAAATCAAAAGAAGAAACATTTTATAGAGAGCGATATTAAAAATTATATTACTTTACACAAGTATTAAGACTTCCATCACTAATTGCAATTATTTTTTGTTGCATCTTTTCAATAACGAGGGATAGAGAAATAATTTTTTTATTGTATTGTGGCGTCAACAGTGAACAGGCCAATGAAATGATGTTATATAATAGTGTTTGGAATTGTACGGTGGTATATTTACGACAAGCAAATATTTTTTTTTAAATACCAGAAAAGAATCATCTTGTGAAAACGACATAATCATCTTGTGAAAACGAGATATTATCTTGTGAAAACGACATATTATCTTGTGAAAACGAGGTATTATCTTGTGAAAACGAGATATTATCTTGTGAAAACGAGATAAATTACCTTGTGAAAACGAGAAACTATCTTGTGAAAACGAGATATCATCTTGTGAAAACGACTTATTATCTTGTGGAAACGACATATTATCTTGTGAAAACGAGATAATATCCTGTGAAAACGAGATATTATCTTGTGAAAACGAGATATTATCTTGTTAAAACGAGATAATATCTTGTGAAAACGAGATATTATCTTGTGAAAACGACATAATATAATAAGTCGTTTTCACAAGATAATTTCTCGTTTTCACAAGATAATATCTCGTTTTCACAAGATATTATGTCGTTTTCACAAGATAATATCTCGTTTTCACAAGATAATATGTCGTTTTCACAAGATAATATCTCGTTTTCACAAGATAATAAGTCGTTTTCACAAGATAATTATGTCGTTTTCACAAGATAATATCTCGTTTTCACAAGATATTATCTCGTTTTCACAAGATATTATCTCGTTTTCACAAGATATTATCTCGTTTTCACAAGATAATATCTCGTTTTCACAAGATAATATCTCGTTTTCACAAGATAATATCTCGTTTTCACAAGATAATATGTCGTTTTCACAAGATAATATGTCGTTTTCACAAGATAATATGTCGTTTTCACAAGATAATATCTCGTTTTCACAAGATATTATCTCGTTTTCACAAGATATTATCTCGTTTTCACAAGATAATAAGTCGTTTTCACTAGATATTATGTCGTTTTCACAAGATAATATGTCGTTTTCACAAGATAATATGTCGTTTTCACAAGATAATATGTCGTTTTCACAAGATAATAAGTCGTTTTCACAAGATAATTATGTCGTTTTCACAAGATAATATCTCGTTTTCACAAGATAATATGTCGTTTTCACAAGATAATATCTCGTTTTCACAAGATATTATGTCGTTTTCACAAGATAATATCTCGTTTTCACAAGATAATATGTCGTTTTCACAAGATAATATCTCGTTTTCACAAGATAATAAGTCGTTTTCACAAGATAATATGTCGTTTTCACAAGATAATATCTCGTTTTCACAAGATATTATCTCGTTTTCACAAGATATTATCTCGTTTTCACAAGATATTATGTCGTTTTCACAAGATAATATCTCGTTTTCACAAAATAATAAGTCGTTTTCACAAGATAATATCTCGTTTTCACAAGATAATAAGTCGTTTTCACAAGATAATATCTCGTTTTCACAAGGTAATATCTCGTTTTCACAAGTTAATATCTCGTTTTCACAAGATAATTTGTCGTTTTCACAAGATAATATCTCGTTTTCACAAGATAATATCTCGTTTTCACAAGATAATAAGTCGTTTTCACAAGATAATATCTCGTTTTCACAAGGTAATATCTCGTTTTCACAAGTTAATATCTCGTTTTCACAAGATAATTTGTCGTTTTCACAAGATAATATCTCGTTTTCACAAGATAATTTTTTTCTGGTATTAAAAAAAATATAATTGCGTGTCCTAAATATACCACCGTACTATTGAATCAAAGATAAAATGAAGAAATCTTGCAGATTCGATATAAATGAAACAAATAATTTGCCATTAATCAATACAAAACGCGATCAGGTACACTGATGACCTCGGCAACCTGTGGTCACGGGATGGTTTACATATCTGTAAACATCGAGTTGAACATGGAGAACGTAAATTGTGTACAAGTCACATGTAATGATCTTTTATTATTCAATGCTTAAAGTTTAATATTACTTATATAGTTTGTTGAAATAACAAACGAAGGAAGATACATTTAATCTTCCCCTTTCTCGAGGACCTGTTCACTTTAAAACTAACATAATAAAAAAGAAAGACTATTTGTATTGAACAATTTAATAATGAACCACAAAGCGCGTTTGAAACCTTATATGGAAGGAATATTAGGGTATATTATTTAAAGCTAGTTTGTTGATGTCATACATATGAAGATTTCTGATTCACTTTCTGAATGACAGCAGCTACCTGTTTACAGGTTATCCTTTCTGCTACATTTACGCAATACTCGAACAAAACACTATTTTCATGAGATCAGTAAGACGTAAATGAACAATTTTTTTTAACTGTAGCCATATATATTGACCGTTTTTTTGAGTTATAAAGTAAAAACCTTCAAGGGCCCTAAAGCCCTAATTTTTTTTTTCAGTATTATAAAACATATGTACTCTACTACAAAATATGCTGTAAGACAGGGAAATTATTATAGTGAGTTTTTTGATACTACATTAGGAGTTAAACAAGGGGATAATTTAAGTCCTACTTTATTTAATATTTTTGTTGACGACTTTGAAAATTATTTTGAGAAAGTTTTGACCTACCCTGTATGTTTAGGTGATTTAACTTTTAATCACTTATTTTCTGCTGATGATCTTGTTTTATTATCAGAGTCAGCTGAAGGCCTCCAAAACTGTATAGACAGTCTTTCAAGATATTGTATAGAATGGAAGTTGCAAGTAAACTTAGAAAAAACAAAGGTTATGATTTGCTCTACCAGAAAAATAAAGAAATATTATGCATTTTATTATAACAATAATAATATAAATATTACTGATAAGTACAAATATCTTGGTATATTTTCACAATCAAATGGCAATTTAAAAATGCTTGTGATGACCTTGCTGCCAGAGCCCGAAAAGCTTATTTTGCCTTAAAGCATAAACTACCCTTTGGCTCAAATCTCTCTCCCAGCTTGTGGTTAAAGCTATATGAATCAATTATTATTTAACATACTCCTCAGAAAATTGGATCTCTGATTTTAATACAAATCCCAATAATTTTGATATAACTCCTTTTGAAAAAATCCAAAATTTTATCTTAAAAAACATCTTAGGTGTCCATAATAAAGCATCAAACTTAGCAACTAAAATTGAATTAGGTGTTTTCCCTGTACATACCAAAATTTACCATCTTGTTTTTAAATATTATTCCAGATTGGAAAAATTAACAAAAACAAAATTAATTGCAATGTCTTACTCAAGAATGCTTACTTGGAAGATACGCGATTGGCCAGTGAAAATAAAAAATGTTGGCAAAGTTGTGTAAAATCAATACAGATGATGTTAGATTTTAACTTTGACACAGATTTTAAAACTTTTAGTCCTAAACTTAAAAATTTCTTTGAAAATAAATTTTTTTTCTGAACTTCAACACATTAACAATACTCAATGCGGTAAGCTGTCATTTTACAGTACATTATTCAACTATGATGCTAAGAAACTGGAAATCCAACCATACTTGTGTTTTCCACTTCATAAGAATTTATTTTCTTATCTTTCCAAGTTAAGAATAAGTGCACATAAGTTGTACGTAGAAACAGGTAGATATTGTAACCCTGTCATTCCTAGAGAAAATAGATTTTGTTTCCAATGTAAAACTCTTGTTGAAGATGAAAAACACTTTTTACTTGATTGTCCTGTGTATAAAAATGTCAGGAATAAGTATTCAAGGTTACTAGATGTTAATAACTTATCTTGTTTGCTTAATCCACATAACTTTGTATCTACGAAACAAATCTGTCTATATATCAGAGACTGTTTTGATATTAGAAACAAGCTTACAATAGTATAATATCTTGCAATACATGTATATGGTTAACAACACATTCCTGTACATAATTATGTGCTTTAGTGCCAATAAAGAATTGAATTGAATTGAATTGAAATTTTCGGGGCCATCCCCTTTTTAATTTTATCAAATCAAAGGCCTTGACCTTGTGCACAATTTTTATTCTACATGTTATATCAAAATATTATTGGTTGGGAAGATAGAAAGGAAAATATGTGTAAATTTTCACTTTTAGACGTTCTAAATTTTATACAGCTCCATTTTGAATACAGAAATCGAAAAACAAGAATTACTATACGCAACTTCAGTGCTTTTACGTATAATTTGCTCCAGCTTTTGCAATATAATCTTAACCATTAGAAAGATTAGAAGGTCTTCAGCTGGAGCAAAAGACCTTATTTATGTAAAAAGCACGTCATATTACTGGCAATCCTTCTCCTGCAGATTAAACAATTCAAGGCAGATTTCCCCTTTGTTGAACCTCGGCCAGTAGAGTCGGTTGAAATGCAGAATCTTAAAAAGAGCATTTGAAAGCATTTTGTATTTTGAGGGTTGGGTATTGGTTATAATAACAGCTATCTAACTGTAAATATGTAATTTAAACTTGTGTTTCAACAAGGTGTTATACCCACAACAATGAAAATTCGAACGTCAAAATTCAAACATCTTTCTGTCATTCTTCATAAATTGCTAACAATTTTAGGCCTTTTTTCACAGAACAGCTTTACCCGTCCTTACAGGTGACCTTGTATTACAAATGTCACACTTTTAGAATAGGGACAGTAATGACTGCATGGACCTAGGATTTTATGCAGGAGCAAATTTAACAAATATATGAAGTACAGCATCCTTTAAAAAGTACATTTGGGTACATATGCTTCATGTTTAAAATAAGCTTAGACATAAGGGCTGCGGCAATATAAAGCCCTTGGAAATGCTTAGTACAGAAGGTCATATCGACCATAGAGTTTGCGGAAAATTAATAATTAACCCTCTTTTAACGAAACAGGGCCAAGAGGTTTGATTTCACGTGTGTATTCGTGTTACAAATCGGTTCATTCCGCATAATGACCCATCAGCTGATCAATAGATAGATAAGAACTCTGACATTCTTTGGTTGACGACACCAGAATTCTACCCATCTTGGTGATAGAAATTTTTATTTTATTTTCTCGTAAATGAAAGAATAAGTTCCTTGCTCTGAAAGAAAACGACAGAAAATTAAAAAAAGAGGGTTATAACTAATCAACTAATCAAGAATCAAAATGCTTTATGCATGCATAAACGTGCATAATGCATGTATGAGAAAAACACATGATTATTAGTCACATGTTGATAAAACCATGGTATTTCCCAACAGCCACTATATATGAACGTCGGACAATTCTAATAATCCATACATAACGATGGCTGATGTAGCTGCTCTCCTTGTCGTATGCCTTCTAATAGTAAAAACAATTGATGGTCTTCCTGCACAGTCACCGGGGACAAAATATTCTCCAACACCGACAGAGAATTTTTTAAGACACACGGTGCTAGACCCAGCTGGAAACTTTCATTTATTTTGGAATTTCAATACCACTCATATAACGTTTGAAGCTCATGTAAAAACACACGGATATGTTGGCTTTGGACTTTCTCCAAACGGAAAGATGTACCCAGCAGACATAGTCGTTGGATGGGTAAAACACGGACATGCATTCCTGAAAGTAAGAGAAACTTTTTTTCAGTTAAAAAAATGTTTTTAAAGTGTCCATCCTTTTTCCTCCTTAACGGTTATTTGCATGAATGTTAGTACTTTTATGACACAATGAGTTTTCAATGCGTTTTCAATGCGTACTTCATGCTTTTTTTCCACTGAAGATTAATGGCATTGGAAAGCGTGTACAAAACATTTCTTTATAATTTTGCTTTTTTTCTCCCACTATCATAGAATATTGAAATAGTATTAATACAGTTCACAAGTATTATCTGCAACTTTTCTTATATCACTGAATGAAATTAAACCCAATTTCACAGAATCATTGGTACATGATGCCATTGTGCATCTATTATTTTATTTTTTGATCGGACACATATTTCGGATTCCCTCAAGAAACATGCACTTTGTCATTCTTTCTATAATACTGAGGTGTACCCATCTCTTATCCGCAACTCCTCCGTACTACTAACGAAAATTATTATCATTACAAAGTACCATTGTGCACCTCCTATTTTGCTTTTTGATCTGATACTTATTTTTGGACTTCGACTTCGAGTTGAACATCAACTTTGCCATTATAGTTATACAGGAGGCGGGAGTTTCAGTTCAGTGCTCACAGTACCTATAGTTTGTAGTTTTTGTGATATTTATCACTTTTCGTTTTCTCTAAGCTAGCTAATCATTTGTTTTTAGATGAGCAGAAAAAATAAACATAAATAAAGTAACAAGGCTTTCTTCATTTTTAGGATAGGCACTCCAGTGGACATTTTGAACCAGTCATTGATGCTTCACAGGACTGGGTTCTCCTTCATGGAGCAGAAAACCAACATGGAACCGTGATCAAAACTGTCCGAAAACTGGACACGTGTGACGATGATGACGTCAAAATAACGGTAACTAGCATAAGATTAATAGAAATAATTATAAACCAAATTTTTAGTATTAACTTGCAAAAAAAATTGGTTTAGATTTTTATGTTTAACGTAATTAATAATGCCTGATTTGAGAATAGTTTTATTTTACGTTTCGTGATTAACAAAGCATTTTACTCTCTTCTTCTGGTAAATCAATGAATTCACAATCTATGACAATTTACCATTTTGATAACACATTTTGAAATTTAGGCTTGTAACTTAATCTTTTTGGTTCGGGTTTCCAATGATACAATTGTAGTTTACAGTGCATCATTATTATTTGCTTAAATTAAATTATCTGTTAGATAATTTTAATACAGTGTTATATCCTATGTTCAATATGCCAGCGGCTGTCCCAGTGTTGTTGTTTTGCATTGTTTTACTCGTGTGTTATAGAACGACACCATTCGAGTAATCTACGCCTACAGTGAGCATGAACCACAGCACGAGGGTGGAGGTCTTGTTTATCATGGAACCCACAGAGGAGCCAAAAGTCTCATGCTATTAACCGAGACCAAAAAAGCTACCATCCCAAGTGACGTCATAACGAGAGATCTGCTGAATAACAGGGTATCAGTCGGTCTAAAACTTAAAAAAATAGCAAATTATGATCGGAAATTAAAAAAAAATGTATCATTTACATATCGATAGTTTTCGCAAACAATCATTGCTTTCTCAAGTCTGTTTGGATAAGTCTGAGAATGACGTGATTGAAGACTATACATTTTATTATAAATTTTATCCACGAATCTTCTTTTATCTTCCTTAATATTTTTTCCTTTTAATTTTTTTTCAGTTTCTCGTACCAGATGTTGACACTTTTTATATGTGTAGAGTATTTGACCTTTCTGACTTTGGAAAGAAACATCACATGATAAAGGTAATGCATTATCATATTCATTTATTATCACAATATTCCTATTTTCATCTAAAACATTGATGGTCTCGATTAAGTTTTTTTTAAAAGAAGTCCAAACTATGTCCATTGGCCATGAGAAAAGAATACAAAATGTAGAACGTGGAAATTTAAAAAAAAACTTGAAGATGCTTTCATAATAAACTTTTTCCTTTATTCGATACAATTCATCAACTGAATGTTTCGCTTCTTTGCAGTATGAACCAATAATAGATAAAGGCAACGAGGGGATAGTCCACCACATTCTTCTTCACAAGTGTTCTGGAGTAGACAGAAAATATGCTGGTGTTAGATTTGATTGTTATTCTAATCACAACCACCAACTCAAACCCTGCGGCAATATTATTCTGGCTTGGGCAGTTGGAGGAGAGGTTTGTCTTACAAATGACAAAAAATTACCGTACCTGAGATAATAAGACAAAAAAGTCGATCACAAATAAGCTAATTTTTTCTCTTTGCCAAAACAACCAAATTCAATCCCAACAAAAAAAAAATATGAAACCAAAAATTTATAAAACTAATTTCCAGGAAAAAAATATCCTCTGTAGTGTGTGACATAAAGTATCTTGTTTAGTTGAGTGTATTAACTTGTGTATTACAGGCGTTTTATTACCCTGAGGAAGCTGGTCTACCACTCGGAGAACCAGGGGACCATGATCTTTACATCATGGAGACTCATTATAACAATCCTGACAGGAGAAATGGTGGGACTTCTGGACTCTTTTTAACGTGTATTTGTAGTACCAGTACAATGTATCAGCAGGTTTTAAGGAATTTTTAACGTGATCATTATTATGCAAAAACGTCTCTTAAGACATACCGGGGTATGCATAAAAACATTTTCACTGTAAATTCCTAATATTAAACATGGTAGTAAATTATTTCAATTATTTGTTAATCGATCTTGTGACATGTATAGATTTTTATTGACTTTGGGTTCGATCATAATCTTCAGAAGATAAAGAATTCTAGAAGATGTATGAACAAGAGAGTCTATAAAACCAAACATTTTTTCGTCAGATTTCGTTGATAATTCTGGATTTCGTCTGACCTTGACCCCGACACTAAGGAGACACGATGCTGGGATTCTGACAGCGGGAATGAGAGTCAATGACATGCAGATAGTGCCTCCTTTCGAAAAGGAGTTTCTATCTAGTGGCTTTTGTACACAAGAGTGTTTAAAACAGGTAAGAAATATATCTAAACTTTTCAGGCCTGGGGACCATAAAACTTAAACGAGCTCACTTTAAATATGAGTCTTACTTTTGCAATATTAATCCCTCTTGAAAAAGTGAGACTGAGATCAAAAGTGAGCTCGTCTAAATTTTATGGCCCCCAGGCCAGGACACTTTGTCATAAAGATGATCTAATGCTCCCCCTTTTCACCTTCCTGTCCTAAACGTTCCACACTTTTCATGACTTTAAAACTCATAAGCCATTTCTAACCAAACCTGCAAACAATGCATCTTTAGGAAGTGAGGGAAGAAGATTAATACTATGATATAACTCAAATTTGAATGAGAATTGATGTGTAGTGTAAATTATTGCAGTTGGTCTATGGAAAAAAGAGTACATATTAGTGTTTTCAAATGTAACAAAAGATAAATGTGCAGATTATGACTGAGAAAAACTTGCATGATGACAATTAGGTGATCCTTAAGCATCGTACCGGCATCTTGCTTATTAACCCCTTCCATGGCAAAGATTTTAAGCATTTCTAGACAAATTGATATTAAGATTTCAATGCATTTTTTTGAGTATTTCTTGTAATTTTTGTATATACCAATGTATATAGTTTCTGAAAATGATTATAAAATATCATTTCATTTGCCATGGCAACGAAATACACCATAATCATGCTGGAATTTCAATTTATTCAAGAATGAGTTTCATTCTAGTTCTTTTGCTTAGTTAAATATATTCAAAAATTTTGTATTGTTGTGTTGAAAATTATGAGCATGTTGTACATTTTTTTTTTACATACCAATTTTAAGTATTTTAGGGGGATGGGGTGGGATTGGGAGGTAATCACCAGAATTTAGCATTTTTAAATAGAACATGTTACCCCAGCAATAATTTAGATAATGGCAAAATCGCTAAAAAAATGCGCAAAGTTTAACTCAAGCTAGCAAAAAAACCGGTACAACCAATGAAAAAATTTTCTGTATATTATTTATTTGTAATTATTTTCTCTTTCCAACGGTGTAAGATTTATTCTGATAAGCATTTTACTCTCGTTTTTCAAGTCAGATGCGTAGAAATGCATATATGCCATGTAAGGGGTTAAATTGCTTTAAATTCATGAACCCCTTTTCAAGATAAGTATACCACAACACACACATACCCTACCCATCCTCCCTAGCCACGTATAGAAGAAATGAATTCTATATGCAGGTGCAGAGGGAATATTGCTACATTAATATTGCAAGTTGGTGATAGAAAAATTGAAGTCATCAAATTTATTATTAAACAAAATTGGATTGCTTGGGTAGGCCTTAACGTTTTTTTTCTGTAAAATATTCAAATATAAAACAGATTTCCCACACTGTCACCCTGTGGTATCTTAGTACAAAAAGGTATATCAAATCAACATAGGAATGAAAATGAATATTGTTAATAGATAACTCGTCGTCGATATATCTTATAAAAAATGAAGATAACAGAAATCTATCTCAAAAAAATCCATACACAATAAAATTCTGTGAAGAGGGCAGAAAATGACAGAGGTGGGATCAGGTGATTAAAGGGAGTAAGCATCCCGTGTTGAATATTGAATTGAAAGCACAGCAAGAGACTTCTTCTTTTCATGTAGTAATTTTCTTTAATAAATTCTACTTCATATGAATACAAAAAAGGTCTGCTTATTCACTCTTATCTTCTTCTTAAGGTTTAAGTCTTAATCAGTAATTGCCAATGCAGTTCAATATGTCAAAGAATATTTGGAATTTACCAAGCTCCGCTAAAATAGCGAACATTCCCTTTTTAATGTTTACTCTGAAATGAACTTAACAAAGCATTGTGTGAAGCTTTTTACATAGGGTACTAGAGTATATCTGTTCCGAGGAGACATTATGTCTTAATATTCCCTAGATTTGCCAAGGAATAATCCCAAATTTTCGAAAACAGATACATGTAGCAAAATATGTTTAATTATGCAATCAAATATATCTAAGCATGTTTTAATTAGGATTCAACGATAGCATTTTTTGTGTAATTTGAAATAAGCTTTAAGGGCCTTTTTGTAAAAACCCAATTGAGCAAAAGAGGAAATGGCTACAACATTTTTAAAGTATATACTAAGATTAACGTTGTACAAATGCAAGGTTTTTATCTTGATGTTTGAAAATATGAATGATGTGCCCGCCTGTCTTAATAAAAACACATTTTTTGTTATTTTTTTTGTATATGTTTGATAAAAATACCATTTTGAGGGTGTTTTTCTTGTAAATATATTGTTTTATTCTAGGGTCTCGATTCTTTCTCCGAGGGAGTAAATGTATTTGCAATTCTGGAGCACGCTCATTTGCTAGCAAGAAAAATCAAGACTAGGATTATTCGTAATGGTACTGAATTAGAACCGTTAGCAGTGGACAATAATTATGATTTCAATTACCAAGATTATCGATATTATCCCAAGACAAGAAAATTAATGTCGGTGAGTATCCTTAATTACAGAACCAACATTTTACAATCTTTGCGACATCAATAATCAAGTCATAAACTTGTTTATTAAACTTGTTTATCAGTTAAAATAGTTTATTATTCAAATTACAATTCAATAATTTGTAAACATTTTTTTTTTTTGGAAAATAAAGGATTTTTTCGAATTAAATTAATAAAGAGAAACTAATTGATATAAACATTAAGCAATTTTAAACATTTATTGAAATTCGTTTTAGGGCGATGCGCTGGTTGTGGAATGTACTTATGATTCTTCTCACAAGTCTGCTGTTACTTATGTAAGTTAAAAAAATATATAGTGTATATGTAAGTCTTGAAATGGATTTGATACGTTTCAAATGCTTAGATATTGGAAGTAAATCAAATGGATTTTTTATTACTATGGATGAGTTTAGTTCTGTGATAATGTCCCTTTTTGAGAATTTTTCACCAGCTTTAGAAATTGTTACTTACGTAGCACTGAAGGTTCTATATCCTGCGAAGATGTACTGTTATATGGTACATTGTACCTAACATTTTACGGTCTCAAATGATCTGTGTCTTTTTACTTTTAAAAGGAGATATAATGTTAAATCATCTCTATTGGCCTAAATCTAAGAGCTCTTGCTTGTGTTTGTTCAAACTATATTCAAGTATATTTTTCAAATAATTCGAATTTTGCTCTATTAATATCTCTTATTCTTTAGGGAGGGTTAGCCACCACTGATGAAATGTGTCTATCTTTCTTGGTGTACTACCCACGGATGGCTGTTGAAAGTTGTCAGAGTACCCCGATGTATAACGGTATCCGTAGAAATGGCCATGGCGGACGTCCAGTGGCAGCCATGTTTGATTGGACTTCCTCATCTTCCAGAAATTATTTCAATATTGTACTGGCATCAACAAATCACCGGGCGTCCTGTTATGGGTCATCGCTGACCCAAATGGTATAGTCGCTATTTCTCGCTGCTTATTTAAAATGAATAGACCATCATTTAAGGGAGCCGACTGGGGTTTTATTTTGTGAAAATTACAATACAGAAACTCTTTAATTTTATTTCAATCTACCTATCGGTGAAAATACTTTTAAATATCGGTTCTAAATTTTATAGCCTGTACTTTCATAATTTTGTAAAAATTTATTGTAAAAATAGTTCCTTTAAAGGAATAAATACGCTTCATTTTACTAAGATGCGCAATGGAAACCCCAGTTGCCCCTTTAAGCCAATTCTGTACTTTTGTTTAATAAATTTGGAGAGGATACAAGAATTGTTAATTAAAAGCTTATATCCTTGCTGCCATTTTGTGGCAAAGTCAATTTTACGACTTTAGCCTTTAAAACTTTTCGGTCTGTATCTCTAGCAGTTCTTTTCTTGAAGTATCTACTTCTAACTTTAAAGTGACTACAGATGAGACAAACTGTGTATAAAAATATATTCCAAGTTATCAGTTCAAGCTTTTGGTAGCTTTTAAAAGCGAGAAGTATGCAAAATCATTTACGTTTACGTGATCTGTACTTCAGTGAAACTGATTTTGTGCCTAGACATCTGCTGAAACTAATACGCGAAATGAATAAAATTTCAGCACAGCCATCAAGATCTCCAGATGCCCATCCCAGATTCTCCGTACTTTGAGCCACTCTCTACATGTCCTACGTCGTTGAATCCAAAGATTACGTCACTTCCAACAACACAAAATCCGTGTGGGTCTCCTACACCAACGGAACAATTTGACTTTCAGGAAAGCATCGACCCTGACGGAAAATACATGCTCTTCTGGAATGTGAACAAAACTCACATAGTATTTGAGGCACACGTAGAAACTAACGGCTACATCGGATTTGGATTATCACCAAACGGGAAAATGTATCCTGCCGACATTGTAGTTGGATGGGTTAAAGATGGAGTTCCTCATTTCAAGGTACAATTGTTATCCTAACACGAAAAAAGGAAATGCTTTATTCTTAAAAATAATTTAAACAAAAATATCTCTTTCTGTAGGACATGCACAGTGTTGGTCATTCTAGACCTATCGTGGATTCGTCTCAAGACTGGCATCTACTTTATGCAAATGAGGATAGTTGTCGGACTTCTTTGAAAATGATCAGGAAGCTAGACACTTGTGATGATAAAGACTTCAAAATCACGGTATGCTTACCTGCACAATTGTTGGAAATAACAAAAAGTATATGTTTCTTCAACTGTTTAAAGGTTTTTGATTTTCATTAGATGTCTAACATATAGTACGTTTCTCTGGCTTCTGTAGCAATTGAAAAATGTTCTCCAAATGACAACTGAAAGCTCAGGTTTTCCTGTTTTTAAAGTTTCTTTCTTATATGGACAAAAGTTATCTATTTTAATGTTTTCCTAAGATTCTACCTATTTTTTTTTAAAGAATATATATCTAGAGATTAATTTTCAAAATATCTACCATGTTATGTAATTATAGATTCTAACATGTTATGTAGCTACATTATATATACTTTTTAAAACCATTTCAAACAGGATGACACAGTGAAGATAATTTATTCCTACCACCACAAAGATCCCAGTAGTCATGACGCCATTATGTATCATGGGGTCAACCGTGGGGTCAAAAGTCTATTGCTCCTGTCCAAAATATCTCCTCCAGTGCTAGAGAGCGACTCCAAAACTATAGATTTTTTCAACAATAACGTAAGAAATGCATGTTTATGTAAAACGAAAAACTTTTAACAAGAGTAGAGATTAGAATTATTTAAAGAAAATGTTCATTTTTAAAGTATAGTTTCCGAATATTCTGTGGAAGTCTTCAGCTTATATAATATAATTACTTCTGATTACAAGAATGGATCAACTTCAATTTTTCCTTCTTTTCAGTACCACGTGCCTGCTGTCGATACAACATACAGCTGCCGAATCTTTGACTTTTCTACTCTTCATAAAAAGCACCACCTGACAAAGGTATTGATAATGTCATGACTTCTATAAAATCACGTTTTTGTGCGTTCAAACTTTTGTGGTGTAAGGCCAAAAAATTGGTTCAGGGGGATCTGATTTCGTGATAGAAGGAAGGTTGAGTAGTTATTTATGACATTTTACAGTTCTTGAAGGACATATATTAGTGGGTCTCTTTATATCTCGAAAGCAACGAAAATTAAAATCAAATCCTCAACAAAAATTAGTATCATATTTTTTAATGAAAGCATATTTTTTTCACATTTTATACTTGAATGAATTTTTCTATGATACAAGGAAGTATGACAACTACTTGTATTTGAAATGAAATCTTTTGTTTCACAATTAATTTTATATTCAGATTATGATTTCTATCACAGTTCGAGGTTATTGTACAGAAAGGCCATGAAGTGTTGGTCCATCACATTGTTCTTTACAAGTGTCCAGGAATCAACAGAAACCTTATAAACTCTCCAAATTACGTGTGTTATGAGGAACCGGACAAATCCAAAAAACCGTGTGGTAAAATCATTGCCATCTGGGCCGTGGGTGGAGAGGTAAATTTTAATCATATTTAACGATACGATGCAGTTAATACAGCGTTTCTTCTAAATTCACAGAGTGAAGGGTAGATACCGGACTTAAATCCCACTGTGGGACGTGTATATCGTGTATACCGAAATATCGTGTCTCAGAAGATCAGGATAGAAAAATAATTCTGGCAGCTCCATGGCCATAAGTGCTAGGTTCAAGTTCAATTCAAAATTTAAAATTTGAATACTCGAAGAATTATTAAACATACAATTTTCAAAATTTGTATACCATTCAAAAATACGATTACATTATGAAAAATTTGATCTCAGTGTTTTGGTTAACAATATCTATGTTGTTTTTGAAGACCGGGTCTTCAAACAATCAAACTATTAGAATTCCAGTGATATAAATTGTGCCGAGTTATAAGCAGACATATTTTCATATTCACGTGTATCATAATTTGTTCAAAATTTGGTGAAAAGAAGAAATCGCTTGCTGTGGCCCTCAACTTGACATTTAGACACATGTATGGGGACGACGTATTGTCAATTAACAATGGTTATTTTCATTCTTATGTCAATACGATATCTCGGTGAGCTTGTTATAAAAGATAATACAAAATCAGACACATCTGTTTCATATTTTGATATTTTATTAGAAAAAGACGTAAATAAAAATCTTACAAGCAAGCTTTATGATAAACGTGATGACTTAACTTTTCAATCGTCAACGTACCTTACTTATGCAACAATATGTCTTCTTCACCTGCAAAGGGGTGAATTCGATGTGCAAGAACACCACAAAGTCAGACACATCTTTTTCATATTTGGATATTTTACTCGAAAAAGACGTTAATGAAAATCTAACAACCAAGCTCTATTATAAAAGTGATGACTTTAACTTTCCTATCGTCAACTTCCCTTACGTGTGCATCAATATACCTTCATCACCTGCATACGGGGTTTATATCTCTCAGTTGATTCAATACTCAAGAGGATGCTCTACGTAGGATAATTTTTAAAACGAGGTAAATTATTGACAAACAAGTCATGAAACATGAATTTAAGCAGTCTCGTGTAAAGTCACAATTTCGTAAGTTCTATGGTCGATACAATGACGTCAGCAGATACAATTTATCGTTGAGTCAAATGATGACTGACGTTTTTCATACTAACTGTAGTCCATTATTCATTCACTGAATTGACAACGGATTTTCCCGTCATTTCCTGATCATGACAATAAATAGGATGTGACCGGTTGGCAGGGGATGCTCACGCCTCCATGGCACTTGATCCCACCTCTGATTTTTGGAGGTCCGTGTTTGCTCTACTCCTATTTTGTATTGATTTATGGACTTTTATTATTGAATACTGTTCGTTATCGCCATATGTTTCATGAACACGTCAACATTTGATGTCATCCCAAAATGACTGTTAGATAGATGAATTCTAGAAGGGACGAAAATTAAACATATCTGCAATGATTTCCGTGGTAATTCGCATAAACGACAAAATAACCATGTGTTCCAATGTGTATATAATTAAAATGTATGAACGTATATTCACTGTAAATTCTTTTATATCAAGAAGGTCACTTTTTCATTCCAGTCATTCAGCCCTCCTTTTCATTTCTGTAAATATCAATTATTTTGAAGGCGTTCTACTTCCCTGACGAGGCGGGACTTCCGGTGGCTGAGCCTGGAGACACAGATCTTTACATCATGGAAACCCATTACAACAACCCAGGATTGAGAAACGGTTGATATTTCAGATCATTCCTTAAATGAATTTTGTACAGTTGTACAATTGTGCTCGAAACAAAAACAGCAAAACCCAAGTCAGGCTCGTCGCGAGGTTTCTAGAGATAACAATGTGGGTGTGTTATGGAAGCGGTGTCATCTCAAAGAAGCAAAAAAAAATTAAAAAGTGGGTGCCTTTGTGGATGGCCCCTGAGCACTCTTAAAAATCATTTTCAGAGCATTAAACTGATTTATTGTCATGGTCTTTGCTTTTCACTTTGGAAAGTCTAAGTAGTAAAAGTAGTAAAATTTAAGGGGTTATTCTTGGCCCTGAAAGGGTATCCAAAGCACTCCACTATAGCGACGGCTTTGTAGGTTCTAGCCCAACTGGATATTAAGTTTCTAATCTAATTGTAAAAGATTACGACTTACAAACAGATAAACATGTTCATTAAACCAATTTTTTTCTGAATATTGTCTTTCATTTCTTTCCAAACACATGTATTAAGGCATCATTTACGAACATTTTATTACTAGTGGAAATAATGGTCATAATGAACATCCAAAGGATCCGTTACTTGATTGTTTTAGTAGCAATAATGTATGACAGTCTCAAGAAAAGTTTTCCGTACATTGAAGTGTATATTTATATTGTAGACTTGGTGGATAACTCCGGTTTCCGATTGACCGTGACACCCACCCTGAGACTACATGACGCCGGTATTCTTGAGGTGTCAGCAATGGTTGACCAGAGTCAAGTTATTCCTCCTCATCAGCCCAATTTTATCTCAACTGTCTTCTGCAACGAATCTATTTTACATGAGGTTTTCAGTTTTCTTTGAAAAGCATTATATGCGACAATGATAAATTCCTAAAACTGGAATTCATTCTCATTGGGTTCAGGCCCCAGGATCGTTTGAAACTCTTTTACATTGGAAACACATTACATCTTTGAAATTTTCCATAGTAGTGAACATTTAACAAGTAGTTTGCGTTATTATAAAGGTCTCTATGACAATCTTGACATTTAATTCCAAGGGTTTCCCGCATGGTGCAGTGTTAAGAGCATTGCTCTAGAGTTGTGTAATTAAGAGTTGATACTTATGTCGCGGGTTCAAGTCCACTGCTGAGACCTCTTCTTCGGATAAGACCGTAAAAACAGAGACCCTGTGTCACAGAAAGTGCTGCAACGAGAATAATCCCTCATTGTTCAAAGGCCGTTCGTGCCGAGTACTGGTCTCGATTTGCAGCCCTCCACCACCTAGTGGTGGCGCGTCTCAGTATGAGTGAAACTTTCTTGAAGGGACATTAAATAAACAAACATTTTCAGTGTTTTCAATGATAAGGCTGCTTGATTGGCTAAGTTGCTAATAAATTGAATTTTATGTTCACTGGACATTTGAAAACTGAGGTATTTCTTCACATTTACGGAGCAATCTGTCTTCAAAAATTACTTAGTTGATTATAACAATGTATTTTAACAAGGTACGTTAAGGCTTACAAGTAAATTTCACACAACTGATATTCTCTACAATATAGGGTCTTACAGACTTTCCAGACGGGGTCCATGTCTTTGGAGTCCAACAACATGCCCATCTTTTGGGCAAGGCAATAAAAACTCGACTCATCCGAGGTGGAGTGGAACAGAAACCCTTAGCAGACGACAAACATTATGACTTTAATTATCAGGACTTTCGTCGAACAAACAGAACCCTGAGAGACGTATGTATGATGTTATGATTCAAGTTTGACAAGGGTGTTTAGGTTTAGATATTTTCAAAAGAGAGTTTATTAGACACGATATATCGGAATCATAAAGAATTTCCATGTAAGGAGACTCGGGGGTCAACAAATTAAGCACCAGATATAACTTATTTTTTTAGATATGATATCTTAAACTGTCAATTATCATTTGGCAAAGAAAAATTTCATACATTTTAGTTTTAAAATTTGATCATTTTTTTATATCTATATATGGAGCTCTTCTTCTAGAGGAGATCAAAATAGTCTAAAAATGACCACGACCATCCAGCCCCTTTCAGATGTTAAGTTTATAAAGATGAAATATCTCTTTTATGATTAATATTGCTAGTAATGATGAAATATGTAATTATTCTCAGCCTGGGAGTTTCTATACCTAAAATATATGAATGTTTTATTCTGTACTTTCATGTCATTATAGACAATATAAACTTTCACATATATGTTATTAATCATGATGATTGTATTTTATTATGCTTAATCTCTCAGTTTAAGCCAACCATTTTATATTCTATCATATCATTTTTAAGTTTTGAGTTGTTTAAGCATATTTTCATAAGAAAGATTCATCTATTTTAGGGCGACAGCATCATTGTTGAGTGCACTTATGACTCCACTGGACGAACCAATGTAACATATGTAAGTAAATAATATCAGCAATATATTTTTATTGAGGAAAAACTTCAAGGCCATAGTTCATTTGGAAAGGTTTTGTCACAAGTAATTCACATGTCAAATGTGAATACTCTAATCATTGATCCTTCAAAAATTAACAGCAAGGATCAAATGTTTGAAAATCAGGTCAAACATGAAGGTCAAAGGCATGAATCAAATATCATAGCACATTTGGAAACTTTTTCACACAGATAAAACATTTGTTACAGGTGAACGCCCTATTTTCTGTCATTCAAAAGTTTACCAATGTGATACTTCTTTGAAAAATTAGGTATAATTTCAAGGTTAATGTCACGGGGTCAAAACACATAGCATTTCAAAATGATTTGTCACAGGTAATGCACATTTTTCCCCTTTATCTTACCTTTGAAGTTTGACCTTAAATTTACTATATTGGTTCAATAATATTTGATGAATGTTACCTCGAAGTTTGCCTAAATTGATGGACAGATTAGACATTAAGGATACCCAAACAAAGCAGCTAAAATATGCCAACAATAATAGCATTCCAACCACTATTACACCGAAACGTGGAAACTACAAAATATTTGAATTTCTTTGTCTAATTTAAATTTTCCAAAAGAAAATTAATATGAAAAGTAATAATAAAGAGAACCAAAGAAAACATGTCTCAGATATCATAGACATGGAATTTTTTCAAACAAGATATTAAACAAGTTTATTCTTCATCCTTAGCATAACCAAAAACTGCTTTTGGTGTTTATGTACTGTATAAGTAGTTAACCTATTCAATTTTATTCATTGTCTTGCAGGGAGGATTTTCTACAAGTGAAGAAATGTGTATTTCATTTATATTCCACTATCCACGTACAAGACTTTATGACTGTTTGAGCAAACCACTGTATGACAGGTTCCATCATAGCAACAAGAATCAGTGGAGTCTCATGGGTACATTGGCATCTCAGTTTGATGGCTTTGACTGGAAGAACTCAACTGTGTTCCAGGAGTTTAATGATAGTCTGGCAAATGACTCGTACTTCTACGTATACGGACACGACAAAAATATGGTAATTTTTCAAATACAATAAAAGAAAGGATATTATTCAAAACTAATTCCTTTTTTAAAAAGTTAAAATACAGAAAAGGTGTTGTAACTTAAGACATCAAGACAAGTTCATTGCTTTTTCTCATATTTGTATTATTTGGCTTTCCTCCCCCTCCCAACCCCACATCTTAGCATATGTGAATGTTTAAGATAACAAGGTTTGGCACATCACAGTCCTTTTTTGAAGAAATTCTACTTTGCCAAAATGAAAAGTTGTGTCATTTTCGAAGGGGGAGAAAAACAGCAAAATAGGGTTAGTTAAATAAAAATCCCTCAGAACCTGAACCATAAAAAAAACTGTTCCCCATGGTTATGAATAAATCTTTTAAAATCCTCTGAAGAAGAACAGCAGAGGAAAGCCAAAGATACAAATATGAAAGTTTGCAATGCAGTATGATTTACTCTGTTAGTTTGTCATGTACTATAGTATATCTTTATTTGCAGTATAACTACAGCATCTTTCATCCCCAGACCATGTATCCAACAACGCCTTACACAGAACCAATAGACACAACATGTACTGTTTAAACTCTGACTATGTTTTAAATCTTAACACATAATATTGAGGATGCATATTTTTAATTTTTTTATTTGAAATAAATATGACTTGCACTACACTGTGTTTGCTAATGCATTTAAACTAGAGCGTTCCAAGAAATGCGTTGCATGCTTTACAACGTCATAAAGATGTAAATAAATCTAAGAGAAGTAAGCTATTTATTTGCTACTGATATAATATATTTCATGCATTTGCCTGCAAAGGAAATCATTCACAGAAAGAAAGACTACTATAGATTATGACAATCAAAAAGAATATGTGATTCCTCAACCATCAAAGCTGAAAATGAAAATGGAATGGCATTATAATTTACGTATTTGCCTACAAGACGTTCATGGAGAGAAGACGCCAAACTTCTAAAAGACGCAATCGGTTCCCATGGAAAATCCAACAGATTTTCAGAAGACCTGACCTTCCCTTTAAAACTACAGAGATATTGTCAATCAAAAATTCAAGTATCTTTTTATTATCAACTTCAGAGTTTTTTTGTGTTCAAGCAGAATGTTTTAAACAAAATAATTTTGTAAATGAATGACTAATGACAAGGTAAGTAAATTTACGAATTCCGTTACTATTGTAAAGTAGCTATGATATCAAGAAGCCTTGATTTTAATTTATCGTGGGGAATGGTTGGGAAAAAAATGTTGAAAATTTGTGTTTTATATTGATTTTCGTAAAATGTAATTTTTAAATTTTTTTCTAAATATTCCTTGCAGTCTTTAAGTATCCACATCTGAATTACATAACTTCTAGAATATATTGTACATGTATACAGTTTCTCCTTCACTGCTGTTCCTATTTTAGTAAAGAAAGAGGCTTGGTAGAACATCCCGCCATGTATCTTTGTTTTTAAGGATTTTATGAAGTCTCTACAGGTGACACAACAATGAGCCTAAAAACTATAAGAAAAGTGCACAATTCTTCATACCATCGACTAGAAGCAGTACTTTAATTCCAAACTGTGTTTCTATGTTCTTCAGAGAAGCATGTAAGGTTGTAAAGAGTTGTATCTTTTTGACCGAGCGTTAAATCAAAAAATGAACTGGGTCCATTTAAAGTATTACTTGGCTTTTAGGTACTTAATATGTACTAATTTAAAAATATATATATCAAAATTAACATCTGATTTCTTTTTTTAAATCAATTTCAATTACAGATTCTAAACATCAAATGATATTATAATTAAAACCATTATAGAACAATAAGAACGGTTAAGAAGAACAACATTTGGTTCCACTGACCGAAACAATTTTGAGAAAATAGCAATTGTCAGGTGAAAGTAATTTTGAATAATGATTACTATTTTAAACTATCAAACACGGTGTAATAAAAGAACCCTTCTTTGGTCTTTTTATCAATTTAATCGTCTGTTTTAATGCAAACACACACAAAGAACTGGGTTTGAACGGTTTTATCAAATAAAGAAAAGCTTGACCTCGCCAATATTCTATGTATTAAAGTAATTTATTTGTATTTTACAGAAGATAAGGCGGATCACCAAAGCTTTATTGACGATGATTCTGTCCTATTGCTTGTGTAAGGAGCTTAAGTTGCAGACATGTTAAATTAGTATTCGCTGAATTATTAAGACGACCTATCAAGGTTTATCATTTCTCTGCAAGTTCAGTCCAAAATACTTAGATCATAAATAACAGGATGTTTCCGTGTTAGGTGGGTAATTTGTATTCATTTTCTTCAATTAGAACTTTGAACGCATTATCTATGAAAAAAGAGATGGGTTTAATATAATGACACCCTTACAAAGAGAACAGAAAATGTCCATAGTGTGAAATCGACGATTTTAGACAAATGAGTTTAAAGATAAAACGTGTACTTAATACCTAGAATTGGAATTTAGTTGAAGTCTAACATATAAAATGAGACGAATAGTAAAGATTCTCTCGATGTTTCAGTGAGTGAGGAAATTTTGGTAGTTAATGCTCTTAACAAAATATCTGAAAGTTTATGTAAGGCCACATTAGATTATTTCTTTGTTTAACGTTCTTAAGAGTGCTCAAAATTTTTTCTAAAACATGGGTTTATAATGGTTTTCTTTTTTCAAAAAATGCCTGTGTAATTTATAGGCATATTGTAATTCATTAAATCTTAATGCCAAAGTATTTTTAATCTTTGAGGAAAAGAAAACAAATTTTGTGCTAAAATAAAGTGGAAAAATAAGAAATTTAAAGATTTGTAAATATTCTCTGTAATATTATTAGCAACTTAAAGTTGTTGCCTTTAACTCAACATTCAGATATACACATCGTATAGTGAACTTGAAATGAAAGATACTACAGAGTCTGCCACATCTGTTTTATATTTTTTAATATAATCGTTTTACTGACAATAGATGTAAGAAATGTCTGTGCTTGTCTAGTATTTCCCAAAAAACTGATAACAAACAGTAAACAAGCTACCGATTATTCCGTATGTATCCATGGCATCTGACTCAACCTCTGTTAATTGTATTTATAGGTTCGTGTTAATTGCATTCTTTCAATGGACTTTTGATCATGATTAGTGTTAGTTTCCATTGATGGCGTATCTGAGCTAATAAAAAATTAAAATACGAGATTAAGCGTAGATTTACATGATATTTGTTATTTACGTTAAAATTCAAATTTTCACCGGTATTGAATTTAATAAATTGTGTAATTTACAATAAGTCCTATCTTTATATAAAGTAACAAAAAATAAATCGAAAGTTCTTTTTAATTTTAGTTAGTCTGGATTTTTCAAAAAACTGCGCCATATATCGCTAAATGTAACAAATAACGTTACTGATTAGGAATATAATTTTGATGCCCGGTGGTACCTCATTCTCAGTATATTTCAAACAAAGATAAAAGGACAATAATTTCGAATCTATTATTTATTTTAAAAATTTACGTTCAAATCCGAGTAATATACAGCTTGTGACTACCTGAGAGGTACTAGGAAATTAAGACTAAGTCCAAATGCAATTTTATATATTAATTTGAACAATTTTAAATAATATATAAGGATATAACGAACAGTATTCAAGCTCAAAAGTCCATTAAACAATATAAAATTGGAGCAGAGCAAACACAGACCTCCAAAACATTAAAGGTGAGATCAGATGCCATTGAGAAGTGAACAACACCTGCCGACTGGTCACACTCTCCGTGTGCTCTTTGTCATGACGGAAAAATCCGTTGACAATTCAGTGTGTATATAATGGTCTTACAATCAATACGAAAAACGTCCGTCGACATTTGACCTAAAGATCAATTGTATGTACTGACAATTAATGTCATTGTATCGACTATAGAACTTACGAAATGATGACTTTAGATGACACTGCCGATTTTCTTGTTTCATCAACTTGTTCATCCATAATATACCCCTCGTTTCAGAAAATGTACATACGTAGAGCATGTTCTTGCATATCGAATCAACTGAGAGATATAAAACCCGTATGCATGTGATGAAGATGTATTACTGCATAAGCAAGGGAAGTTGACGATTGAAAAGTTAGTCATCGTGTTCATTATAAAGCTTGGTCGTTAGGTTCGCATCAAAGTCTTTTTTTTTCATTAGAATGTCTAGATATGAAAAATATGTGTCAGACTCTTGTGGTATCTTTTTTTCAAACAAAATATAATTATGAATTTAATTTTAAAAAGAATTGTTTATTTTGTAAGAACTTAATGCTATCAACTTAGTTTTTTAGTTATTGTTGGTCTGAAATTCCTTTGTTAAACGGGCCACTGGACATATAAATTATTGAAATCAACCAGATATGCGTATATATTGATCTTGTTCCTTAGAAATTCATGTACTTTAATTTAAAAAAAATGTATTGATCCGAAATGTATTGGGACAAATATAATATTTAATCTTTAAAACATTGTGTTTTTACTCTCGCATGAAATCACATCGAAAACAAATAAAACATTATTAAAGTCGACAATAAGAAAGGGACCTAAATACCCTTCGTTACAATTAATATACATAAAACCTTAAACGGTTAAAGTGGTCAGTTATTAAGCCGATTTATTTTGACAATACATAAGTATTTCTTGTTTTGTTCCACCACCAGGACTGTTATCAAATGTTTAAAAACGCCTTTTAGTGACAGACTACAAATATTGGCTTATCGTTATGGTCAATTGATGATTAAAACATATACTCTTGGGACTTAATTGCATTTAAAGGCAGCTGAACTCTGTAAAAAGAGATAAGTCTTTCAGTGGGTGCTCGGCTCAGAATATTATCGGGTAAGTTGTCTATACTTTGATTTGTTGAAGGTGACTGGTCGTTGGTTTTCTTCATTTTAAATTATGAAATAAAGCAAAAATCAAAATGATTTACTTCCTTTTTTTGGCTTCAACAGCAGTCTCAAAATTTTTGTTGCAACCTCATTTTAGTTCATTTTAATGATTTATAAGTAAAATTCATTTTCATATAAAAACCGGCAGCATTTTAGTGCTTGAACCAATAACGGGGTAAGTGTTTTATTGATACGGCGGGGGGTAATGATCTTCAAATTATGCAAGAACCTGCCAACTCTAACACGTCATCTGAGTATTTGATGCCAATCTCTAGGAGCCAGCTGATCGCTAGTTCTCGTTGAACGTTTCCAAAATCAGTCCACGGCCAAAAGTGTTTTGTACGATTAGAATTGGCTGAGTTTGCAGTGGTCTGTTTGACAAGTTCGACAAGAGTTTCTGCTAGGAGTCATTTAAATGTATCTGATAAATCTCCTCGATTAATATCCCTGCATTGTTTTATTTATTCTTCCTGTGTAATCAAACCTTTGTGATTCCCTGACGTCTGATAAGCAGAATTCCGATTCAACATGAAGTCTTATTGTTAAAATTTAAAGTTGATGGACGTTTTCATATTTCTTCTCGTCCTCTTCATGCAATCGCCCAATGAATAGAAGCCCGCATTTAAGATTACACGGATAATCTGGAAGATTTGAACGCTTTATTTACAATTCAAAAAACCTATTTGACCATACCTGTACGTAAGCCATTAGTTACTATAGTGTATTGGCCTTGGTAATGTGAGGAAAGAATTGGTTCACGATCTGACTTAGATCGACATTTGTCTCCAGTTTTCTTTTAACTTATTGACGACTCTGCATCTTTCCATTCTTTTTAGTTCCTGTTGTCGAAGAACACTACTACATTTGGAAAAGAAGACAAAATGGGCGAATTTAAAGTTACTCATAAATATGTTTTACAAAATAATGTGAGATACATGTACAGTGGACTTCCCCAGTCAATGAAGTACAGAGGAAGTGGGGATTATCCGAACTTTGACATGCTCCGAATCAACAGACAAAATTCTGAGCTAAAAAAATTAGTTCTACAGTCTGACGAGTATCAAAGACGCATGAATACATTCCTCATCCCTAAAGCACCTGCTTTCCGAAAGTATACTTCGCATGCAGTGGACCCAGTTGTCGATCGTCTGCTCAAGCCGACAATTGCCCGGGAAGGATTTTCTCCGGAGAAACACTCCGATAAATTTCGATGCAAAGAGTACACCCGCGACCCAGATAAGTCACGTTTTCCGAGTTATCAGAAATTACCTGAAGATCAGGTACGTGGGATTACGTCACGGCTGCTGAAGCCCACTCACATGAGCACCTTGAAACAGCGTCTTCCACCCCCACCTCTCCGACAGGACCCCGACAGAGCTAGAGTCGTCCAGATGCATAGCATGCCCATCGTTGATGGTTGACAACAACCAGTTCCGTAAGGTATGATTAACTTTCTTTCTAGACGGTTGGTTAGGGTGGGTTTTCCTATCAGAGACAAAAAGTATTTTCCATAGCATTTATCAGTTGCGGATTTGACAGGTGGGAGCATCCCCATGCAATGAGATATCCTATAAAAGTTATGCTAAAAATCATATTGACTACAAGTACTAGTATTGGGAACGTCTGTTATCATTTTACTGGTTAAAAAAAATTATGGGTTAAGTTTTAATATGAAATCTTGGATCCGCCCGAAGGATTACTGGGCATTTTTACAAAGGTCCAATTTGTCGGCTTGTTAAATTTAACTTTTTTATGCTTGTAATTACTGGTAAACAGCGGTTGTGCATTTTGCTAAGTGCATTATAATGTCAAGTTTTTAGGGCAACTAAATTATAATTAAAGAGGATCACTGTAATAGAAATGTGTCTTTTTACCGCTTCACTCGCTGCAAATAATCCCCTTGTTAATGCGGTTACACTTCAGTGCCATTAAATCTTGTTTAATTAATGACGTTCACATTAATATGAATCAAAGTAAAGCTGGTCTTTCAACAGTATTTAAGCATTGTACAGTATGCTGTACTTCTCAAAGGAAACCACGTTTGTGGAAAGTTCTCTTTTAAATGAATTAATCCCTTCCATTAAATCTGCCAAGAACTTCCATCCAACAAGACCTGTACATGTAGAATAGTTTCTTATTGTTTAAAAATGATTTTTAAAAAACAAAAAGAAAAAAAGATTGAATGAAAGCAAATGCAACACTGGGACGTTTTCATGCATGCGTACTCTAGTGCCCTTAGATAAGACATGGTGGTATTGATGATATCTGCAAAAGGTGATGAATCCACGAATGAATATGAAGAATTTACAGAGAAAGAAGACTCAAAACATCTTAAAAAAAACAACAACCCAATATCTGCAAGATATATGGGGGAAGGCTGGTAAACCCATGAATTTCTATGTGCAAGGGCACTTAAATATTTTTGACGAAAAGCATTTAAAGGGATTGAAAAGCACACCTCTTCACAATGGGCGACTCGTACACATGTGTGCAAGTGTCTTTAAAAGAAGTCTACCATTCTGTATTTTTAAAGAAAATTATAACTTTAATATTTGCAGTGTATAGGTAAAAGGTCTAGAAAATCTATACGAATTTTCTTCCTCAATATTCTGGGATCGTAAATCCGTACAAAGTTATTAAAATGGAACAAAATATAACTCAGTCTATAATTCATCAAATTAGACTTACAAATCTTAAATCGGCACATCTTTTAGAAAAGCAAATGTTCGGAAAGATAGGGGGACAGAATGCACAACAAAAGACCCCTGTGTCACCACTGGTTATGAACAAAAACCAACAATATTCGTTTGGAATTTTTTTTTAATTTAACAACCTGTTGTTTAAATGATCTTTGCATTGTAAGTTAAATATTGTATGTGCAAATAACACTAGTAATCAATGCAATTTCTGTACACAAGAGGTACAAAATATTATAAATGTGTGCTGCAAGGTAAGGATATTAAGTGTTATCGCATTTATTTACCCGGCATGTTTTTAATTTGAAATTCTTTTTTTCAGATTCATCTTTAATTACGCAAGATCATATCATTTCTTCACCAGAGGACTCAGTGTCAGGCAAAAAAAATGTTGATTTAACGGCATTTTGTCATCAGATTTAATGTTTATTTATTTGATGTTTATAAAGCAAGACTTAGTATCCACTTCTATCTTTCATTTTCACTTGAGAATAAATGTTTTACTTATCTTATTATTATATGAATATTTATTTATTATAATTTATATTGTTGCAATATTTTGTTTTGTTGCCTTTCAGGTACATATGTTTATTTCTTTGTTGTTTGAGACATTTAAAGATATCTTTTATGTGTAAGTTTATCCTGTTCTTCAATGAAAATAAAACAGCATAAACTACTTGATCAATGCTTGTTTTTTAATGTTTGAAATTAAACTAATACATGTATATTGTACTACAGATCTTTAAATTATTGAAAACAATAACCAATATACAATAACGATAGATTGAAAACAACTTGAATTTGAAAATTAAAGCAAAAATGAGTAATTTAGTATTAAATCCAACTGAATGGAACCATCTATCCATCCGATTTAAATCGGATATGATAAAAGAGTTAGAAATACTTTACGAACATTATGTTCATTTGCAACTGACAAAAATGGTAACAATATCGTCTTGGTTTGTAAGGCTCTTTATTAAAACTGTATAATGGAAGAACCTGCATATACGTAAAGTTTACTTTCCAACTGATATAATACACAAGTACTCTGAAGTTGATTTTAAAGGGATGCTGGAGATCCCCAATGATAACATCTGTGTAGTCAGGAGACCGTGCTTTCCAACAAACTACTAAAATTATGATGGCCACTTCTTATGCTCCTTCATTAACCGACCTGTTTTATACTCCCATCAGAGCAGAATTTATTCAAAATTTGTGTACATGAGAATGAGAAAACATTTGCAGAGGCCTTTTACTCGACATTCAAAATTTTCAATATATCGACGACACAACAGAGTCTGCCCCATCTGAGTCATATTCTGATTTTTTTACTGACTAAATATGACAAAAGCCTACTAGTACTAGTGTAAATTGTAAGACAAACGAGATAATTAGCTTTTTTAAAGTCAATTTTCCGTATACTGTTGTAATATTCCGCTATCACTTACAATATGGTGTTTGTGTCTCCCAATTTATTCGTTACCAAAGAATACGAGACTTGCGTCTCAAATAAGGGATTTCAGCTACCTCGTGTAAAGTCGGCTTTTCGTCAATTCCATGGTTTTAAAAAAATTAGTTGAGAACCAAAGATTACCAAACCCGGATCTTTTTTGGCTTACTTGAGATATAGAAATGTTAGGCCGTTGTTTTTGTAATAAATTTGACTTCGGGTTGTCCCAGTTACTTGATCAGTACATCTTTCTTGAAATAAAAAATGTTGAAGTTCACGAACAATAATCAAGCTCGAAAGTCAAATTGAATTTTAAAAAAATTAGGCAGAGCAAAGATGGATCTTTAAAATATAAGAAGTGCTATATATCTATGCGATCAGTTGTCAACTATTGAGGAGCGTCCCCTGTCGACCAGTCACACCCACCGTGTGCTCCTTAATGTGATCCAACTAACGGGAAAAAATCCCTAATCAATTCAACTTGAACATCGTCTAACTATTTGTATGATAAGCATCAGTCAACATTCGAATTAACAAGAATATAAACTTGCTAACATAGTTATTGTATCAACCATAGCCTTTTGACTTTTTAGAAGACTTTGTATCCTACTTGCCTCGGTTTAGAAATTGTTCTTTGGTGGAACATGCTATTGCGTATCAAATCATTTCGTAAAACATAACCCAACAAGCAGGTGATTAGGGTATACTGCTACATCAATAAGGGAAGTTGACGAAAGAAAAAAGTCATGTATCATAAAACATATTTCCTTTTGACTTTTTAGAAGAACTTTGTATTCAATATATCTCTTTGTTGCCTATGGAATGTGATACCTGTTTCATATTTGTATATTTTTGTTCTTTGAAGTTTTTCAAATCATATACAAAAACAATTCTAAAATAAACAGGGTGCAGTTAGCACCCTTTTGGAATTAAGACAAATTTTTAGAATACTTGATCTAAAAAATGCAAAGCTATCTATTCTCAAACAGACACTCAAGAATTTTTAATATAAACTTCGGAGTCCTTGTGTGTACAAACAACATGTCTTATCAATTAATTATGCAAATGACCAGTGACAAAGCAGAACAAAAAACTGTCTGTATGATGTTTTTAAAAAGCCTGGACTTCAATATATGGCGGGGAATGGGGGTATATATTCATTTTGGTAAAAAAAAATTTCAATATCAATAAGGGAATTTAACCGTACGGTTTTCTCAGGTAAGGGGAGGACTAAAAAAAGTCATGAAGGTCGTGATCATAACGTTCTGCTGTTAGGTTGACATAATTATTTAGCACCCTTTTGGAATTAAGACAAATTTTTAGAATACTTGATCTAAAAAATGCAAATGGCAAATTAAGGCTATTCTTTTTTGCAATAAGATGAACATTATAGACCTTTAATACAAGACATAGCTCAAATATGTATCTGATATCTCATGGTAAAGATGCATATTCTTTATATTCATTATCTTAAAGTTTTAAAGTCGATATTTTAAATGGAACCATTAATAAATGATATGTGTGTACAAACAACATGTCTTATCAATTAATTATGCAAATGACCAGTGACAAAGCAGAACAAAAAACTGTCTGTATGACGTTTTTAAAAAGCCTGGACTTCAATATATGGCGGGGAATGGTTGCATAGTGTTAAGGATGTTATTCATTTTGGTAAAAAAAATCGATTTCAATATCAAGAGTTCCAAGTTTTAAAACATATTTTGTTGTCTCGTTACACAATTTTGCATAAAAACAATGTCGTTAATTTGTGTACAATGTATATATTGTTATACAGTACTCCCAAAGTTACACCTTCACTGCTGTAAATACTAGTATTTTAGTGAAGAATAAAGATAGAAAATTTTACAACATTTACTTGAACTCGCTACGTATCTTTATTTGTAACGGTTTTATGAATTTTAAGAATCCTGTACATAGTATTCAATTTGCTTGTTGGCAATAGTAAAATACTTAAAAGTGACACAATTTTGAAGAATTTCCTCCTTGGAAAGGAAAAAACTTTGGAGAAGCACTTGCATAATCAATTACTAAAAACTGATCACCTTAAAATCTGTTAAAACTGGAAATCGTTTGTGAACATAATCATATTAAACGTACATTTTTGAAAAGACAAATAAATGAATAGCTACTTTTAAGTTGACACATACAAAACGATGAAGGCTTTCGCAAATTTATAAAAGAATTTATTCTTGATGAAGATTTACTCTTTAGAACCTTGCTAGAACACAAAAAAGCAAGAGACTAAGACATTAGAAATTATTTGAATATTTTTTTCAATTTCAGGAAACAACAGTTACGACTTGTTTCTAAGGAATTAAATAGACAAACATATATAAATTAAAACTATATAATCATTTGATTTAAATTTAAATGATGTAGAATTGTTTGAGAGTATTTCAAGAAAATTTATAGAGTGCTTGATTGAATGTTGTTTAACGTGCCTGTCGAGAATTTTTCACTCATATGGAGACGCCACCACTTGCCGGTGGAGAGCTACAAATTTTGTCCTATATTCGGCACTCAGGGCCATTGAGCAGTTAGGGATCTTTTTCGTGCCAGCACCTACTGCGACATGGGAACTCACTTTATACAGTCCCATCCGAAGGACCGGTCTCCACGTCCCACAGTGGGATGCAAACCCGTGACTTAAGGATCGACTCCTTACTTCGCATCTCTAGAGCAGAAGTTCTAACCACTCTGCCACAAGGGCGACTAAAATTCATAAATAAAGTGCTCAAAGAGTAATCTCTAGTAATGGAAAAAGCAACATTCCCTTTTCACAGAGGGGATAACTATGAAAATTCCCACTGTCAACTATACCTTTCTGTGGCGTAATATTCAATTATATGGTGGTTGTGTCTCCGAAAGTGCTACTATATAAAAATAACAGGCAGTATCCATGCTCAAAAGTCCATCAAACAATACAAATTTGGAGCAGAACAAACAGGACCTCCAAACATCAGAGGTGGGATCAGAAGCCATGGAGGAGTGGGCATCCCCTGACGAGAGGTCACACCAGTTGTGTGCTCCTTCTGACGTTTGGGATATAACGGAAAAATCCGTCGACAATTCATTATATATATAATGGCCTAACAATTTGTATGAAAATTTCAGCAGCATTTGACTTTACTTTAAACTAACGAAATGGTGACTTTAAACGAGACTACTGATATTCTTGTTTCAGCAACTTGTTTGTCATTAATTTTATCTCGTTTTAGAAATTGTTCATACGTTGAGCATGCCCTTATGTGTCGAATCAGCTGGGATATATAAACCCCATATGCAGGTGATGAAGGTATATTGCTGCATTAGTAAGGAAAGTTGACGATTGAAAAGTTAAAGTCATCTCGTTTATCATAAAGCTTGGATGTTAAATTACCCTTAACGACTTTATCAAGTAAAATGTCCAAATATGAAATAGGTAGTTAGACTCTGTGATATATTTTATTTCAAGCTCACCGGGATATATCGTATCGACATAAGAATGGAAATAACCATTGTTAATTGACAAAACGTCGCCGATATATCAAAATATCGAGTTGAAGGCCACAGCAAGTGTTATCTTCTATTTACGTATAAGATATATGACAAAATCAGCTTTATATGAATACAAAAATAGGCCTGCGTAATTGGTACCCATGGGATTTCCAACCGATACTTGGAAGACCCGGTCTCCAAAAACAACACAGATATTGTCAATTAGAAACTGAAGCATCTTTTTAATATCAATTTCAGAGTACCTGTGTGTACAGTCCGAATGTTTTAACAGAATAATTTTGCAAATAACTAACGACAAGATAATTCAGATTACGAGCTCCAATTTTTATTGAAAAAGCAACTGTCAATATAAAGCCCAAACTTTATTAGGAATAGTTATCTATAAAGTTTAAAAGTCATAAGTTTTTATGCTGTTGATTTTGGTAAAATTTTGTTCCAAAAGTTCCCTGGAATTTTTAAGCATCCAGATCTGATTTACACCACTTCTCGAATATATTGTTGCCAGTACCCTTGAAGTTTTTCCTTCACTAGTTTTAATTCATATTTTAGTGAGGAGTAAACAAAGAAGCTTGGTAGAGCGTCAGCTGGAATCCACTATATGTATCTTTGTTTGTAAAGATTTTTTGTTGTGGAAGTATTGGAATTCATAATAGATATGGTAATTCAGATTCTTTCTGGTTGTTGGGAATATATAAATATATTCAAAACTGACATTATTTTTGAAGAATTTTCTCCTTAGAAGAGGAAACTATGGGTATAATTTCGATAGCCACCAATAGAACTAAATCCCAGTTAACTCCTAAACAAAGACAATGTTGTAACCTGCTTTGTCATACTGAGTGATCTATCTAATTCTTTTTCACTGAACAAAGAAAGATAGTTGGTTTTCATTTTGTCCCTCAGTCGCTTAATGCGAGATTTTAACATTTAATTCATTCTGACAACATTTCAAGGTCTTCTTTTTCATGCTTTGTTCATCATCTGGTGTTATCTTTATCTGACTGATTCGATACGCAGGAGAATGTTGTTAATACAATCATTTTAAGCCTGACACTCTACTGCCAAATAATTTGAATTTACAGGGCTTTCACTAGTTTCAGGCAATCTTGTGTTAAGTCAAATTTTCGTAAATTCCATGGTCGGTAAAATGTAATCACTCTGTCACTGGGTCGTATTTTATTGACATGCTTGAACACTTTTATTGATTCACTCATACTGTAATTTAAGTTATTGAGCAGCATGCCTGTGTGCAAACAAACGAGATATCATTTTTGATCGGTATATGCCAGTTTTCTTAACTTTTCTGTACAATGCATTTTATAAATTGTAAAAAAAAAAAATAATTACAAGTCATTTTAATTATTCCAAAATAAATAATAGCATTTTCTATCAGTATACAATCCACTGTCTAATGTGTCCTTGTGGGGGAGATTTACAGAGGAAATGCAACACCAGATCGGAGGGATGCATCACCGGTCAAATGGCAGGATCAAACTCATCAATAAGATGTCACCGGAGATATAAAGTGATAAAGATCATCTGCTTTATTCTGTCTTGCTTTATCCAATTGTCTAAAAAGGATTTAATGGAACCTTTAAATACATTGTCAGTTCTTTAAATTACAGAGAGAATATGTGTGCAATAATTAGCAGTTTTGTTACATACACTGTATATATTAACACAGTTTTAATATTCATTCGTTTTAAACCTCGCACTAGCACTGTGAATGCTGAGTAGGTCTAACGTTCAGCAAGAGAACAATATATGTAACAATATATGAGCAAAGAATGGATTGAAGTTGAGGATTTCAGTTTTAAAAATGGGAGAATTCAAAGTGACGCAAAATTACGCTCTACAGAATGACGTTCACTACCTGTACACTGGTGATCCCATCAAGATGACTTATCGTACAAGCCCGGACTACCCAAACTTTGACCAGCTCAGGCTTCAAAAGGACAGAGTTGACATGAAGCATAAAGTGCTGAATCCTTTGCAGTATCAGAAGTCTTTAGAAGGCGCGCGTCATCTTCCAAACTCTGCAGCGTTCAAAACTTATTCCCGCCATGGAATCCGTGACGTCATCAGTCGCCTGTATCGCCAGAAACACGGGAACAAAGATCCAGAAATTGAGATTGAACAGCAATACCCTGCCTCTAGCCGCAGTAATGTTAGTCATATCAGCTTCAAATATGAAGGACCCACTAAAGCAACGAAAGCTTGCATCATCAAAAGGCGAAAAAAATTTCAAGGGTTTCGGCAACACCCGGATGTACTTCATAAAGGACTGTTAATGCATCAGATGCCATGGGTTTAGGAAACTATTTTAAAACAGAAGTTATATGTGAGGTTTCGGTGACATGGAATTTTTACAGAGAAATCATATTTACCAGTTGTACAATCAACATTTTTATGCTCTCGATTTTGGGATTTATTTACGCTTAATAACGTGGGATGTTAAAATAATTCTAAAATTGATGAAATTGTTTCTTTTATATGGGTATAATTCCTTTAAAAAATATGGTCGCAAAAAACATGAAATTATTTAAACTTTTGCTTGGATTTAATTTTTTATGTTTTGATGAAAATCGTCATCATTAAAGAAAAAATCCTTTTAGTAAGGGTCATTCTTACAGAGAATAACAGTCACTAGTATTTAGCACTTAATTACGAGCACTATCCAAAAAGTAATGTCACAACTGTTACAAAGTCTTTTAATATTCTGTTCTCCACAAACTTTTATACACTAACATTTTAAATTTTGGCATACACACAATTTCAGCTAAAAAGTATATATTCAAATTTATGTTTTCATTTTTACAAATAGATATAGGCAAAATCAAAAATTTGAAAAAAGTTTTAAAGTTTGTTATGTAAACATCAAGATTTTTTGTTTACATATTAATATACAATTTTTCCATTCATGTGAAGATTTTATTCTTTCTAAATACTATTAAACCAAGAAGATATATGAAAATTTCATATGATTTATGAATTTCATTTTGTTATAAATATGATATTTTATTCAAATAAAAAATAAATTTTTACAACATTTTGTGTTTCATACATATATAAATTTTCTGAACATTTATTTAATATGCATTTTAAAATAAGTTTGTTAACCAACAAACACATATATATAATTTTTTCTGATCATTAAATGATGCCTTAGTTAATGGAAGTAAACATTAAAACTGGTTTTAAAAATGCGAATTGAAATTGCGTGTCCCGACACCTATGCGAAGTCAAAATTCAATGCGATAATATTTTACAGTTCACAGTCAGAAAAGATATTGGCAAAAAGAAATGAATTAAGTAAAAGTTTTAAAGGTAATTAACTTATATACCATCAAGATTGCATTTGACATAATGTCACAGTGTGTAGACATTTTTTAGTGATTAACACATTTTTCTTTCTAAATACTATTATTAAAAATAGCACAAACATATCAAAATACGCATTTCTTTATATTGCCATTTATGAAAAAAGGTTAATTAACCATTTGATCTTATTTTATTCAAATAAAAAATAAATTTTTACAACATTTTGTGTTAAATAATACAAATATAAATTTTCTGAACATGATTATTTATGCATAAAGTTTAATATATGTATTATAGAACCAACAAACACATATATAAAAAGCCAACAATATTGAAGTGATTTTCACCAAAAAAAACCCTATCTGGTTCACTGCTGTCTGGTATATTTATATAATGTACATGAAAAAGTGGCTTAACACAATGTAACAATATTATAAAGAATTATTACAAAACTTCAGATCCCTGACTGTGCAAAAAACAGTAAATGTTTTTGTTTCACAACTCCAAGATTTATCACAAACTTAAAAAGTGTTCAAAGGAATGTGTACATGGAATCATCTGATATCAGATTGATCACAACCTAACAATGTAAACACAAAATAACTCAGGGGAATGTTATCACACAATGCCATCTGATTTTTATCTTGATGGACAACTGAGCAATAAAATTAGACATGGTTTAAATGACATTTGTCAAAGTTAACACATGTACAGTGTAACAGCAATATTTAATAATCAGACAAAAACTTCAATCATGAGAACATGAACAAAATGTAACTGATCTACAGCATGTAAAAAAGTCTTTGTGAAATTCCAACAAAAATACACCTATTTAATAAAGCAATGCCAACTTTGTATAAAATATTATTTTCATCTCAGATGGCAAGCAAAAGCTCTGTAAAATTCTGTGCAACTGCAAAAATGAAATATTTTATTAAAAAAAAAAAAAGCCAAAAGCAGGCTGCCTGAACGAAAAAAAAAAAATGTGTTTATATTCAAGCATATACTGTCAATTAATCAAAGCACATCTAACATGTAACATATTAGAGGATATAAATGCTACAACACATTATCAGAAATACAGCTATTATTCACATGAAGTTGACTTCTGAATACATGGTGACATCTCGAGAAGTAATGGTGGACACAATCTCTTTAGGAAGACTTGATTTCTTGAGGAATAACACAAGGTTGGATAATACACCACCTGACTTTTCTATTTCTGATAGCTGCACTTTGTGTTTTGCATATGTTATCTTCTCATCTAAAACCTGCAATAAGTTTTATCTTCTTTAGTCTGATTTTTTTACAGGAACAGTTGTATAATTGATAGAATAATTTTACAAGTAATAATAACATTTCAACGGTTTATTCCACCTGCAAAATTAACCCATGAAGTGTATCCCTGGAAAAATTATTTACATGCAAAATCATTTGTTAGTTTTCAAACAAAAATCTCCTTTACTTAAAACCCTTCCAACACACTGGCACCAAGCTCACTTGATTTTGAAAACCATTAAATTTTGGTGAACATAGAGTATTGTATAAACAGTTTTTCCCTCAAAAATATGTTAGTCATGAAACATTTTTTTGCATTCGTCATTAGTATGTATATACCCCAATCTGACTGTCATGCAATAATTCTGCAAACAGAACTTTTGTTAATAAAATAAGAAGGGAAAAATAGAAACAAAGGAAACCAAAAATTACTAAGCTCACCTCGATAAATATATAGAAGTAAGGCAAAGCCTCACTTCAAATAAAAGTTCTGGGAATTTACATAGGTAGATGAGTCATGCAAGTTTGGTCTAAAAGGAACTTCAAAATATTTACGTGGGAATGGATCTGCTGTAAAATCTTCAACCTGGCAACTCATCTGGGAAATCTATGTTAGATCCATCATGTCAAGCATGTCTGGTAGTGTGCATCTTTTGATGCATCATACATGCAAGTTTGGCCCAGGTAGGGTTTAATGCCCTTAATATGGTCACATATTTGGAAAATATAGATCAGCTCTACTAGCTTCTGATAGCAAGCATGTTTGATAGTATGTATTCCTAAATAAATTATCTATGCAAGTTTGGTTCAAATAGGACTGAAACTTGGAGTGAATTTGCTTCAATATAACTTTAACCCAGTCACTCAACTGGAAAATGTAGGTCAGATCTAGTACCTAAAGCAATTCACTAGTCTAAGATGCATTATCCATGCATATTTGCTTCAGATAGGTCTCTTAGTCACAATGGAAAGGACCTGCTCCAAAAACATTAATGACAAGGTGGATGCATAAATGATGTCAGCTCATCTTAACCATCAAGGTGAGCTTAAATTGAGAATTTGATTTCCCACAGCCAATCCCTGCACAGGCAAAATGGATCAGCCAATCCTTGCCTTGATGACAAAAATCAGCCAATCCATGCCTTGGTAACAATTATACCTGTTGATGGAAGGGTGGAGATTATATGTTTGAACTCGGACACATTCATACACAATAAGCAACAGTTCTGAATGGTCCCCCCAGCCTGAAAAAGTTCTTTTTGGGAGACTGGAATGCCATCCTCTATCAATTTCTGTATAACCTATTTCAAGCCGGAAAAAAATAATGCATGAAGAATCCATTATTAAAAATTGATTTGATACCACTATTGATTGCTTGATTTCTATCAATTTCTTTTGTCAATAAGAATATGATTGAAGATTCCTAAATTTTTACTGTGCAATTTTGCGAGAAGCAGTTACTACTCCTGAAACAAAATTATATGCTTTTCTTCTTAAAATACACCTAAAAGGTTTTAATCTCTAAAAGTCATTTTGTGATATTAAGTTCTTGAGTAAAAGAAGGAACCTACAGTATTCAATGAATCATAATTTCATTTTGCTCAATTACATTTCTACACCAGACTTTGATAGCTTTCAAATGTTTACAAACATACTGGTATTTACATTTAAGCTTCTGTCCACTGTAAAGGTTTCTTTTATCTTTACCAAGAAACTTACTTTACTTTGAAGATATACCTCTGTCAATGTGAAGACTTCTATATTATACCAATTTTATCAAAAACATATCCTTAATTTGAGTATTAAGCTACAGCTTCTACAGAATGCAAAGATTTCTAACATGTTTTACAGTGTGACCTTTGGGGCTAGCGAAGTTGTACCATTGAAAAAGACACTTAAAACATTGATCAACCACTTCAAACATCAAGTTGCACTAGACATCTGAAGCAGCTGTGACATCACATGATGTAATGGAGCTCGTTGGAACTTATGAAGACAGCCGAGCGTCTGGTTGAAACTATAGATCTAGTGCAATTTTTGTTGAAAGACATTGTAGAATATTTTCTTCTATCATTTTTTAACATTTCTACAAACTGAAAACCTTTTATTCACCATTATTGCAATGAATCCTGGTAGCAAAGGAATTTTGGGAAGGTTTCACACAAAATTTGCTACACATATGTACAGATTTCATTCCGAATTTCCTCTGTTCTTACATGTTAGTCTTTTGAGCTCGCTGCGCTCGCTTTAACATTCTACCTTCAGTTATAGTTAGCTTTAGTATGAGTTGTTTCACTAAATATTCACAGGTACAGATTTGTATATTATTGTATTAGATTTATAGATAATTACTTTAAAGTCACTACATAAGCTATCTTTATTGTGAGTACTTACACAAATGTAAACTTCGATGATTGACTAACATATTCAGACATTTTACTTCTTGTTCTGTGTATATTTTGGCAAAATTACGAACAAACATATTGGCTGCCTTGTTATATTCTGATGTACAGTGTACACATAAACAAGAGAAGCTTGTGAAACACTTATGCCCCCTCCCCCTAAAAATAGGAATTTTTTTTTTAAGTCCAAGGGAAACTTGGTGGACCAACAGACAGACAGAGAGACAAAATGATTGACACACAGCAGCAAAGTAATTTTTTAAAGGGGGGCATAAAAATTACACTACAGTATCTTTCAATCAAGTAAACCAATCAGAAACTTGTCAGATATTTACCTGCATGACTCTGTTGGCGTTCTGACTGTTACCCACGGCTATGATGTCCTTCCCGGCCATCGACACCAGAGATTTCAGCTGGACCTGTCCGTCAATCCGGACAGGGGTCACATTGTATTCTGGGAAAGCATCTACAACAGCTGATGCCCCCCGCTCATTTGTTCTTCTTCCCTGTCCAAGGCCAACAAAAATTTCTTTCCCTGAAACAAAATCAAAATTTGTGAAGTTTAATATAAAATTCAGCAAGATTAAATCTGTGAAATTTACAAACTTACAATATATATATTTAGAATAAGGCTAAAATTAATCTATTGAACAATTAAAATAAAGGGCACCAAAATGAAAACATGCATTAAATGACAGTTTGTTCACATTTAAGTTTTGCGATCCCATCTTTTAGGCAGACTGACAGGTGATACTAATTTACCTGTGTTTGAAAGGTAACATAGACTTACCTGTGAACAGTACATCTCCTCCTTCTACAATGGCATCAGGATCAACAATTTCCACGATACGAAATTTAAGATCTTTCAGTACTTTACGAATCTCTGCGACCTGAAATTAAATAAACAATGTTTGTGACTATGACAGAAGAAAAACAATGTATCAAACTTGTCATTCCCATTATGAGTCATCGAGAAGAGTGATCACATTACCCCCCCCCCCTTTTCTAATTTTAAGATTCACTGGAGTGACTTACCTCGCCCTGACGTGTAGTTTGTCCCAGCCTCGTGATGAGAGCCGTGGCGCCGATAACGACAGCACAATCGTCCACAAAACAGCATTCAGGGTAGTCCTCCTCCTCTTGAAGTTCGATAACTCGTACCTCGCACTTTTTTAGCGTCTCTATCAGTTGTCGATGCTCCTCTCTCGCCTTTTCTACGTCTATCTCGTTCTCCTTTTCATATTTATTTGAATACTGTTGACCACTGTATTTAAAACTGTTGGGGATTCGACTTACAATCGCATAGTTATAATTAAACGCCGACATTGTTACTTGTTGAACTGCTTACGGTCTCACCTTGTTTTTTTTCTCTCCCCACACTAAACAGGAAGTGTACCGGAAGTGACTAAAAAATGCAAACAATCTGTTGACGTTACGTCATTGATCCGGAGGGCATCCCAATAAATATGTTGATATATCACAAATTGCATTGTAACTAATGCCTCTATGTGATGACATGTCGAGTAGCTCGTTTACATTTGTATTTTTCATTATTTGTCAAGATTTATTTTGTATATTAGACCAGGGACCTATATTGTAATTCAATTCAATTCAATTCAATTTCTTTATTGATTCACCAAAACCATGTTACATATAAAAGACAAGTAATAAAATACATACATGCAAGTGTATGGATCAGTGAAGTCAACTATGCAGAGTATAACAACTTGAAGATTAAACATAATCATTATGCAAGCAGTATAATATGGACAGTGATGAGCTAATATATGCATTAAACATATATATTATAATTGTGCTTTATTTTTGGAACGCAATTCAAAACATTCATATAAAAATTCACACAGCCTTCTAGAATGAACTGCATTGTCAGGATTACATAATACTTTACAATGATTTTCTTTCAATATGTTATCGTTTAAATTACAGATGTTCAAAGAACAGTACTTTTTTCGCAAATCTATATATAAGGGACAGTCATATATGAAATGTATTTCACTTTCTACAATAGTTTTACAATAGTGACAAAAACGCGATTCTTTTGGGATACAAGGCTTTGAATATCTGCCTACTTCAATTTCCAAGGGATGTGCAGAAATTCTCAGTTTTGTTAATTTAGAACGTATAGCTTTATTTATTGGATATTTTAAGTAGTCTTGTAATTCATAATTCTTTCTAATTTGACTGAAAAATAATAATTTACCACATTTGGAGAATTCAATGTTCTGGAGTTGCAAATTAACATTTTTTATGTAAAAATTCTTCAAGCAGGTGCTGAATGTGTTATCAGTTATATCTAATGATGGAAGATTAAGTTTCTTTTTTAATTTTTCAATCTGACTTTGCCAATTATCCTTTACACCATTACTATATAAGTTGTCATCTTCTAAGGAAGCAGCAATAAGAATTTGATTTCTAGTGCTATTTTTATTCTTAACATTTTTTAGTCTCTTATAGTATTTAAACATTGAGATAATAGCTTTGCAACAAATAGGGACTGTTCCTAGCTCATATTTAATGGCTAAATTTGAAGCTTTTCTCTGTACACCCAAAATATCTTTAAATATCAAATGCTGTATCTTTTCAAAAGGTAGTTGATCACAATTGTTTATATTAATATTAAAGTCTGAAATCCATATTTCAGAACTATACAAAATGATAGGTTCAATAAGTGAAGTATATAATTTTAAAAGAGTTTTTACAGATAAGTTATTATGAAAAGGTAAAGAGCGTTTCATTGCATAAAAAGCTTTTCTTGCACGGTCAGCTAGTTGTTCAGCTGCATACTTAAGCTTACCATTATAAGTAAAAATAATTCCTAGATATTTATATTCATGTTCAAGATGAACTATTAAATGATTATAATAAAAACAATATTGAGTTGTGTCAATTTTCTTATTTGAGAAAATCATTGCTTTAGTTTTATCAGAGTTAACAGTCAATTTTGATTTTAGGCAATATTCTGAGAGACAGTCTAATGAGTTTTGGAGACCTTCTTTTGTAGTAGAGAGGAGAATTAGGTCATCTGCAAAGAATAAATGTCCAACTTCAATATTTTGTAATTCAGGAGGACTTGTGTTATAATTAATTAAGTGTGAGTAGAAGTCATCAATAAATATATTAAAAAGAATAGGGGAAAGATTATCTCCTTGTTTAACCCCACGTGTAGCTATAAAATGTTCACTATAGTAAGATTCATCTTTACAACAATATTTAGTATTTGAGTACATATTATTTATAATATTGTAAAATTTCCCACCTATGCCCTTTTGGTATAGTTTGTGTAACATTAAAGTACGATCAACTGTATCAAAGGCTTTAGTAAAATCCACAAAACATGCATAAATGTTTTGTTTCTTCCATTTTAAATATTTATTTATAAGGGTTTTTAAGATAAATATATTATCTGTGGTACGGTGGTTTCTTCTGAATCCAAATTGATAATTACTCAGTAGGTCATTTGTTTCCAAGTATGAATTCAGGCGGCATTGTAAAAGTCCATTAAAGAGTTTTCCCATACAGCTTGTAACACTTAATCCTCTATAGTTCGATGGGTTACATGGGTCACCAGATTTATAAATAGAAGTTATTTGTACCAAATTCCAGGCTTCAGGTATTTTCCCAGTAAGAAGAATTTTATTAAAGAGCTTTGTCAATATATTTAGAAGTGTACTTGAGCCACTTTTAATAAACTCGTTGAGAATTAGATCTTGTCCAGGTGATTTACCATTTTTTAGACTTTTAATGCCAAGTTTGACTTCACTGTATGTGAAAGGATAGTCCAGGGGAGTAAGTTTCTGAATTTCAGATTTATCTACATATTCACAGGAGTTGCTGCCCTTAGAGCACAATAAGTTTTGATAGTGATTCATAAATGCTTGAAGTCCTGGATTGGAAGAATTTGAGTTTTGTTTAATTTTGTTTTTGTTTAGGACCTTCCAAAAATCTTTTGAATTGTTCTGATTTAGATTGTCGATATTGTCAGTTACTGTCTTATAAAATTCATGTTTTGATTTCTTTTTCATTCTGTTAAATTCCCATTTAGCATTTGCGAAAGCCTGTAATAAATTACAATCTTTAGGGTTTATTTGAATTCTTCTTCCAAGTTTGCGGACTTCTCTTTTTAGTAGAGATATATCATTAGACATCCAAGGTTTTGGTTTTCTCTTGTTTATTTTTCGATTATGTATTGGTGGTTTAAAGAGAAGGGTTTTAGATGCAGCTGTTAAATAAATTTTAGTTAAGTTATTGTTAATATCATCAATACTTATGTCTTTTTCATTTAGACTATTATCAAGTTCAATTAGGCTGTTTGTGCTCTCTACATCAACAAGGGCTGTTTGGTAAGCAAGTTTACATTGATTAGACCAAATGTACTGTCCTTTCAATGGGGTAGATCTACATTCAATATATGATTCACATGTAACTGGGCAATTAAAAGCCCCACACTTAAAACTAGTACAAATAATGCTATGATCAGACAATTCTGACGGTGGTAAAACATTGAAATACAGTATATTATGTAAAACATGGCTGGTAGCCAACATGTAATCAACACAACTAGAACCATTAAAATTATAAAATGTACAATAACCAAGGGAATCACCAAGGAATCTTCCATTAAGAATTCTAAGGTTTAAAGTTCTGCACAGGGTAGATAAAAGTTCACCATGTAGATTGGTTTGATTATCAGAATTATTGCGTGGCAAAATAGAGTCATAGTAATTATAGTAACATAGTAATTAAGTATATAGAATATGGTTCCTGATTACACAAAGTTATAGATCTTCTAATTTTATAATATGATATTTTACATTAATTAATGGTGTAAATGAAGAATCATAAACTAGTTTACACAAATAGAAAAAAATCATTTAGGATAGATATAATATGAATGAATAATTATGCATTCTAATTTGTGAATACAGACACTTGTTTCGAAACAATTATTTTATGAACCGCAAATTAACATATTATTTTTTACGTAGGCCTATTGATCGACAACACCATATCATATATACATTGGCATTAATATAACATATAAAGGTCTTAATGGTTCAAAGTACATTTAAACTGCATTTATTTACATCTAATATAGTTAAAATTTACCCATATGGCACGCCAAATTCACAAAAATGAGCTTAACATAGTTTCACGGTTGATAAATTAGGTTTACCGACTGTAAACTATAGTTTATAAACCGTGAACTATAGTTAACTTATGGCACGCCAATTTCACAAAAATGAGATAATCATAGTTTCACAATCGATAAACTAGGTTTATCGGTTGTAAACTATAAACTACAACGTTAATCTATATTTCACATCTGTAAACAATAGTTAACGCGATAATCTATGTTTCACAACCGTAAACTATACTTAACACCGAAAACAATCATTTGCGATTGCAAAACATAGATTATCTGATAAATACAGTTTCACGATTTGTAAACTATAGTTTACAAACCGTTAACTATAGTTAACGATCTGATAAATATAGTTTGTATACGATTGTAAACTATAGTTTAAAAACGTGAATCTATGTTTATCAACAAAATCTATTGTTAACGCTTTATTATAGACAGATAAACTTAAATTAACATTCTTAAACTATAGTTAACAACCGTTAAATATAGTTTTACAGATTAAAACTATACTTAATGAATCGTTAACTATAGTATAGTTTACGAATGCTAATCTAAGTTTATAGAGATCTGTCTGGAATAAAACGTTAACAATAGATTTTGTTGATAAATATGGCACGCCAAATTCACAAAAATGAGCTGAGTTTCACAGTCGATAAACTAGGTTTATCGGTTGTAAACTATAGTTAACGGACTGTAAACTATAGTTAACAACGTTAATCAATAATTTACATCTGATAGTTAACGCGATATAATCTACGTTTCACAACCGTAAACTATAAGTAACACCGAAAACAATCATTTGCGGTTGCAAAACATAGATTATCTGATAAATACAGTTTCACGATTTGTAAACTATGGTTTACAACTCTTAACTATAGTTAACGATCTGATAAATATAGTTTCACGATTTATGAAACTATGATTAACAACCCTTAACTATATTTTACGATTGTAAATTATAGTTTACAAACGTGAATCTATGTTTGTCAACAAAGTCTACTGTTAACGCTTTATTACAGACAGATAAACTTAGATTAGCATTCGTAAACTATAGTTAACAACCTTTAAATATAGTTTTACATATGAAAACTATAGTTAACGAATTGTTACCTATAGTTCACGGTTTGTAAACTATAGTTTACAGTCGATAAACATAGTTTAACAACTGTGAAACTATGTTTAGCTCATTTTTGTGAATTTGGCGTGCCATAGATAAACATAGATTCACTTCTGTAAACTATAATTTACAATCGTGAACTATAGTTAAGAGTTTCAGAAATCGTGAAACTATATTTATCAGATCGTTAACTATAGTTAACGGTTTGTAAACTATAGTTTACAAATCGTGAAACTGTATTTATCAGATAATCTATGTTTTGCAATCGCAAATAATTGTTTTCAATGTCAAGTATAGTTTACGGTTCTGAAACATAGATTATCGCGTTAACTATGGTTTACAGATGTAAAATATAGATGAACTTTGTAAACTATAGTTTACAGTCCGTTAACTATAGTTTACAGTCGATAAACCTAGTTTATCAACTGTGAAACTATGTTTAGCTCATTTTTGTGAATTTGGCGTGTCATATACCAATTATTGCAAAAAGTTATAGGTTGCCATACAAACAGAATAATATCTCAACATAAAAATTCATACATTTTTTGTAAACAATATTACAAAAATTATGTAAAAACTGGTTCAAATGCATAATCCTAATGCTGAAAGTTCTAAAATACTTGCTAATTATAAGAAATTTTCGAATTTTGAATATCAGGGAAACTATTTTACATCAGAAGTACAATAAAGTATGAAGATGCCTTAGAGGGAGTTATTGCCCTTGTCAACACATTTTAAAAATTGAATAATTGATTAGTTAAAGAAAATATGTATCTTTAAAATTCTTTACCTTTACAATATTTAACATTACATCCATTGAAAAGTATTTTCCAAAAGAAATTGTTCTATTGGGTATAAATATAAATATATAACAGTTTTTTGCAAAAACCTATGACAGCAATGATCATACGAGGATAGAAAAAACCTTAAAATGTTCTCTTTGTTGGCGGATTTTTTGCTGCAAAATTGTAAATAACAATTTCAATGAAGGAAAAAATCACATTAATAAACTTCTGTTGTTCATATTTGCGAAGAAAGAACCATTTAAATAAGCTTCGATTAAATCAAAATTATATTATTGTCATCCTGTACAATAATGATTTGACAAGACCCTTCTTTTGGGTACCACCAAATTTGACCTTTAGACCATGACCTTGGAGTTTGACACACTTTTACACAAAAAAATACAAACTTTTACTTTGGCCATGATTTTTGAACGGTAGACACTAGGACGTTCATTCTTCGCACTTGTATTCTTTGTGACAAGACTTCATTAGATACCAACAACTTTGACCTTTTGACCTTGGAGATGTATGTACTTAAAAAAAACTTTAACCTAGGCCCGGCATAACTTTTGCACGGTAAGGGCTAGGGCTTTCACACTTCATATATTTAATCCTTATGACAAGAACTTTCTTTTGAAACCAACAACTTTGACGTTTGGCCTTGACCCTGAAGATTGACTTACCTTTCAAAAACTTATCCTTGTCCATAACTTTTGAACAGGTGTGCTAAAGCTTTCATACTTCACATATTTATCCTTGTGATAAGACCTTTCATTGGATACCAACAACTTTGACCCCTTTACCTTGACCTTGGAGTTTAACCTACTTTTTAAAAACTTTAACCTTGGCAACTATTGAAGGCTAGGGCTTTCATATACTTCACATTATGTAATCCTTGTGAAAAGACCTTTCTTTAGAAACCAACAACTTTGACCCTTCGACCTTGAACCTAGAGTTTGATCTACCTTTCAAAAACTTAACCTAGGTCATAACTTTTGAATCGGTGGTGCTATGGCTTTCGTATTTCAAAATTGTATTTTAATTTGTTGCCATACGGGGACGTCAGAATTCACAAACACGGACATCTTGTTGTCTATGTATCAGATTGAGTGAAATTTGTGAACTACACCAGATTTTCAACGGGACTACCGAATTTAACAAATGTATATTTTAACAGCAAAGGTAAAGGGTAAAGGAGGATTAAATCCTATCAACCCGTAAGGAACAAACTTGAAATGAGGTCAAGTTGTATCCGCGGTTCCGTAGACAGAAAGTAAACACTAGGTGAAAGTATTAGTTCTACAAGCTTAGTGGAATAAGTGAAAAACATGGTTATATGAGCGAAGACAATGATAGAAGACACCTTTACGGAGAAGATACCCAGTGTAAGTTCTTATTACTTATTTCGCAACCGAGGGTAGACTGCATTTTGTAATTGCAAAACTTTTCAAAGAAGGAACGATAACTCACTCGATCTGTCTCTATATGTATGGTCACCTTTTCGGAGCTATACTCGATGAACACGTAGGCCTATTGAGGTGTTATAAGTGAAAACTTAGATAAATGTAGTTAAAAAGAATATAAGATCCATATTTCATATAGTTTTATTTTTTATAACTTTATGTGATTCATTATAGTGATTACTCTAGTATTTCTTGATTCACCACTGGTTTTAAAAAATAGATTATGACCTTTAAAATAACTTTCGGGGGATCAATTTTTTTGATAAACTAGTATATAAAATTGACATTTTATTGATATTTTTAACCCCTGTAGTGCTGTCCTTGAAGTATGGCGGAGTCCATGTTTGCACAAGACATCATCAGGTGTGACATCTGTCCAGCTGATGTGGAGAAAGGCGCAGCGGAAATTTTCTGTAAAAGCTGCAAGAAACACCTCTGTCAATCCTGTATATCCAAACACGTGTTGTCCTCAACCGTCGATCACATAGTCGTGCAATATGTTGCTCACAGAAGAGTTAGGAGGCTGATTTCTCCAACAGTAATTCAAACATTGAAGAGCGGGTTTATACCTTCGTCTAGGGTAGTGAAGTCACGTGATGGTAGCTTGTGGACCTTGGGGGATATGAATACGGTGAAACATTTGGACATGAACGGAGTAGTTATGGAAACATACAGCAGTGGCTCCATTCATTCGCCATATCATATCACACAGAAGAAAGGAGGGGAACTCGTATTTACGGTTATGGCAGGCAAAGTTTTAAATGCAATTATGGATAAACAGATTAAGACAATTATCACATTTAGAGAGTGGACACCTCGAGGTCTCTGTGTCACCGCTAACGACGATGTACTTGTTTCCATGTTCAGGACGAAAGAACCAGACAAGATTGTCCGATATTCCGGAGTAACTGTTATTCAAGAAATCTCGCGAGATTCACAGGGAAATTTCCTCTTTCGGGATGCCTCTTTTGTTTGCGAAAATACAAATACAGACGTTTGCGTTAGCGATGCAGAAGCACGCTGCGTTGTTGTCGTCAAAAACACGGGGGTCCCTCGATATAAGTACAGCGGTGGCTCCCAATTAGAGTTTGACCCTGGGTGTGTTGCCTGTGATAGCCAAAGCCACATTCTTATTGCAGACAAATATCAGCACTGCGTACATATAATAGACAAAGACGGAAAATTCCTATCGCTCATCGACAAACACTTTGTTAAAGTTCCTGTAGGAATCCACGTGGGCGAAGATGACACATTGTATGTGGCCGAAAGGAAGTCTGGGAAAATCAAAGTCATTAAATATATGAGCCCCTAAAGAGGCATTGTGATCACAGATCTTCTTTAAGGCCATCTTAAAAAATGTTTGGTTGTCCTCTCCCGACCGACTGACTAAAATATGGCCCGAATCATAACTTTTTATGACATATATTCTTGCCATAGCATTGCATAGCATTTCACACGAAAATATAATTTAATTTTTTTTAAAAACTTATTTTAGCTAGAAATTATTGAAACTACGAATTCCGGGACGCGTTTGATTGACGTATCCTTGCAATTACTAAAAAAGACTTTCAGTTTTATTCTTAAGGTAGGATTCTTCTCATATTTCTAATATTTAAAAATTAATTAAATTTTCACAGAATCAAGAAGACAATATCAGTAAGTGATAGTATCAGTGAAATTAAATTTGACCGTTTTATGTTAGAGGCAAGGTCAGGTCAAGGTCATTATCTTTCTCCTTGACATTAAGAATAAAAAATAACTGTTGCCAATCATGTGATACCTACTTCTATTTCAAAAGTTTAATGATTGTTCTTTTTTGCATAAAAACATATTACTATATTGGGTCTATAGCATGATATTACCAAATTTACATAAATAATTTAACTTAACTGGATTTTGGCTAATCCGAATTTTCTCTGTTTTTCTTAATTTTTTAGCTTATATTAGTTATTTTCATATGCTTCCTATATTTAACTTTTTCTTATTTTCACATATAATATAGTAGTCTTATAAATGTACAAAATGATACAAAAACAAAAAGTTTTGATCATTTACTAAGAGAGAAAAAATACTTTTTATGGATTTTTGGCTCAAATCTGCACTTTGATAGGAAGCGCTTAAAAGCTAATAAAGTTCTAGTTTATTTGAAAAATCATATTTATTTGATATATTTTGAAAGTTTAGTCCCTCATTATTAATCTAACTTACATTTGAAATTTTCTCCAAGTCTTTGATTGTGTAAAAATTATAGCTAAATTCATTGTTCTATTATAATTTTGAGAGGCAGAAAAGAAGTTATTTTCATACGCCACCATTCCGCCAAAAATATAGTCCCTGCTAGTTTTCAAACACAGTTTACCATTTCTATTTAAAGTTGTACAATTGTGATGAGGAAAGAAAACTATGGTCTTTTAAATTCCTTACACTTCAATATGTAAGACATTTAAGCAAATATGCTTTGAATGTTTCATCTAGTCAGAAACCAGAGAAGAATCCTACCTTAATACTTAAGAAAAGTAGAAATTTTGTTGTATATTGGTGAAAAATATTAAAACTTAATCTAAAAAATCATACTAGAAAACCAGCTCTCCAATATTGTCAGCCCTTGCTCAGTGATGTGTGAAGAGTGTAACAAACTGAACGAACCGGACTGGGATTCTAACCCGGCTATCCCGAACCTCCCCATTCTGGTGTTCTACTAACTACACTGTACATGTACTAGTATCTGGCCGTCGTCAACTGAACCCGCCTGATCACCAAAGTTGATTGCTGTTTAACGCCATGTGTCGTCGATTATAGTTTTTAGCTCACCTGCACCGAAGGCTCAAGTGAGCTTTTCTGATCACATTTTGTCCGGCGTCCGTCTGTCTGTCTGTCCGTCTGTCTGTCTGTCTGTCTGTAAACTTTTCACATTTTCGACTTCTTCTCAAAAACCGCTGGGCCAATTTCAACCAAACTTGCCACAAAGCATCCTTGGGTGAAGGGGATTCAAATTGTTCAAATGAAGGACCACGCCTTCATTCAAGGGGAGATAATTGAGAATTAATGAAAATTTGGTGGCATGTTTTAAAAATCTTCTTCTCAAGAACCACTGTGCCAGGAAAGATGAAACTTATGGGGAAACATCCTCAGGTAGTGTAGATTGAAGTTTATTCAAATCATGACCCCCGGGTGTAGGGCGGGGCCAAAATGGCCGGCCAAAATATTACATAGAATTATATAAGAAAATTCTTTAAAAATCTTCTTCTCAAGGATGAAAAAGCCATAATTCATCATATATATATGGAAGCATCTTCGGGTAGTGTAGATTCAAGTTTGTTCAAATCATGACCCCTGGGGGTAGGGTGGGGCCAAAATGGCCGACCAAAGTTTTACATAGAAATATATAGGAAAATTCTTTAAAAATCTTCTTCTCAAGAATGACAAAGCCATAATTCATCATATTTATATGGAAGCATCCTCAGGTAGTGTAGATTCAAGTTTGTTTAAATCATGACCCCCAGGAGTGGGGTGGGGCCAAAATGGCCGACCAAAGTTTTACATAGAAATATATAGGAAAATTCTTTAAAAATCTTCTCAAGAATGACAAAGCCATAATTCATCATATTTATATGGAAGCATTCTCAGGATATAGGAAAATTCTTTAAAAATCATCTTCTCAAGAATAGTAAATCCATGGTTGGTCATGGGACTACTTTTGGATTTAAACTTTTCAATAATAAACCAATAAACCTACTTTTTCCTAGCCACAGTGCTCAGGTGAGCGATGTGGCCCATGGGCCTCTTGTTCTTTCTTTATTTTTTTGACTGTGAATAACAAACTTTGAACAACAAAATGGCAGTAAAAACCATGCTTCAAGTTGTCATCCAAATGGTGGGTGTTAGATAAATGGGTGTTGCTCATACGAGAAAATTATTTTAGTGTTGACGAAGTCGATTTGTTTCTAAACTGTTGTTGATTCTTCATAAAACAATACACGGAGTGAAGACATTGAAAAATTGAGTTTTTTTGTTGTTTTTTTAGCTCACCTGAGCTGAAAGCTCAAGTGAGCTTTTCTGATCACATCTTGTCCGGCGTCCGTCTGTCTGTCTGTAAACTTTTCACATTTTCGACTTCTTCTCAAGAACCGCTGGGCCTGTTTCAACCAAACTTGCCACAAAGTATCCTTGGGTGAAGGGGATTCAAGTTTGTTCAAATGAAGGACCACGCCCTCAATCAAGGGGTGATAATTGGGAATTAATGAAAATTTGGTGGCATATTTTAAAAATCTTCTTCTCAAGAACCACTGTGCCAGGAAAGATGAAACTTATGGAGAAACATCCTCAGGTAGTTTAGATTCAAGTTTGTTCAAATCATGACTGCCGGGGGTAGGTCGGGGCCAAAATGGCCGACCAAAGTTTTACATAGAAATATATAGGAAAATTCTTAAAAAATCTTCTTCTCAAGAATGACAAAGCCATAATTCATCATATTTATATGGAAGCATGCTCAGGTAGTGTAGATTCAAGTTTGTTCAAATCATGACCCCCGGGGGTGGGACGGGGCCAAAATGGCCGACCAAAGTTTTACATAGAAATATATAGGAAATTTCTTTAAAAAGCTTCTTCTCAAGAATGACAAAGCCATAATTCATCATATTTATATGGAAGCATGCTCAGGTAGTATAGATTCAAGTTTGTTCAAATCATGACCTCCGGGGGTAGGGCGGGGCCAAAATGGCCGACCAAATTTTTACATAGAAATATATAGGAAAATTCTTTAAAAATCTTCTCAAGAATGACAAAGCCATAATTCATCATATTTATATGGAAGCATGCTCAGGTAGTGTAGTTTTAAGTTTGTTCAAATCATGACCCCCGGGTGTAGGACGGGGCCAAAATGGCCGACCAAAGTTTTACATAGAAATATATAGGAAAATTCTTTAAAAATCTTCTTCTCAAGAATGACAAAGCCATAATTCATCATCTTTATATAGAAGCATGCTCAGGTAGTGTAGATTCAAGTTTATTCAAATCATGACCTCCGGGGGTAGGGCGGGGCCAAAATGGCCGACCAAAGTTTTACATAGAAATATATAGGAAAATTCTTTAAAAATCTTCTTCTCAAGAATGACAAAGCCATAATTCATCATATTTATATGGAAGCATGCTCAGGTAGTGTAGATTCAAGTTTGTTCAAATCATGACCTCCGGGGGTAGGACGGGGCCAAAATGGCCGACCAAAGTTTTACAGAGAAATATATAGGAAAATTCTTAAAAAATCTTCTTCTCAAGAATGACAAAGCCATAATTCATCATATTTATATGGAAGCATGCTCAGGTAGTGTAAATTCAAATTTGTTCAAATCATGACCCCTGGGGGTAGGGAGGGGCCAAAATGGCCCACCAAAGTTTTACAGAGAAATATATAGGAAAATTCTTTAAAAATCTTCTTCTCAAGAATGACAAAGCCATAATTCATCATATTTATATGGAAGCATGCTCAGGTAGTGTAAATTCAAATTTGTTCAAATCATGACCCCTGGGGGTAGGGCGGGGCCAAAATGTCCGACCAAAAATTTACATAGAAATATATAGGAAAATTCTTTAAAAATCTTCTCAAGAATGACAAAGCCATAATTCATCATATTTATATGGAAGCATTCTCAGGATATAGGAAAATTCTTTAAAAATCATCTTCTCAAGAATAGTAAATCCATGGTTGGTCATGGGACTACTTTTGGATTTAAACTTTTCAATAATAAACCAATAAACCTACTTTTTCCTAGCCACAGTGCTCAGGTGAGCGATGTGGCCCATGGGCCTCTTGTTCTTTCTTTATTTTTTTGACTGTGAATAACAAACTTTGAACAACAAAATGGCAGTAAAAACCATGCTTCAAGTTGTCATCCAAATGGTGGGTGTTAGATAAATGGGTGTTGCTCATACGAGAAAATTATTTTAGTGTTGACGAAGTCGATTTGTTTCTAAACTGTTGTTGATTCTTCATAAAACAATACACGGAGTGAAGACATTGAAAAATTGAGTTTTTTGTTGTTTTTTTAGCTCACCTGAGCCGAAGGCTCAAGTGAGCTTTTCTGATCACATTTTGTCCGTCGTCCGTCCGTCTGTCTAGCTGTCTGTCCGTCTGTCTGTCTGTAAACTTTTCACATTTTCGACTTCTTCTCAAGAACCGCTGGGCCTGTTTCAACCAAACTTGCCACAAAGTATCCTTGGGTGAAGGGGATTCAAGTTTGTTCAAACGAAGGACCACGCCCTCATTCAAGGGGAGATAATTGGGAATAAATGAAAATTTGGTGGCATATTTTAAAAATCTTCTTCTCAAGAACCACTGTGCCAGGAAAGATGAAACTTATGGAGAAACATCCTCAGGTAGTTTAGATTCAAGTTTGTTCAAATCATGACTGCCGGGGGTAGGGCGGGGCCAAAATGGCCGACCAAAGTTTTACATAGAAATATATAGGAAAATTCTTTA